CTCCAGTGGAGAGGTTAGAATAAGGGCAGGGTTCCTGTTTTTTTCTGTGGTCTATTTTAGTAGGGGAACCCTCCCAACCAAAGAAAGGGGGCAAAAATGGCACTACTGGGGGACCTTATCAGTGTGTCCCTCTCCGATGCAGGAGTCGTACGCTTGGGGAGTCCCCTCACTTGGGTTTGCCACTAGCTGTGGGTCCAAAATCGGGTAACCCCAAAATGGCTTGCGGCAAATGGACCAATTGGACTAAAACCTGCGGTGCAACTCCTGGTGACAAATTACGACCTGCCAACCAATTGGACTAACACCTGCGATGCAATTCCTGGTGATTAACCAGTGGGGCGTACGTAACTCAAGATTCCTTCCTGCTTCTTATACCCGACTAATTCTGACCCATAACCAATTCTAACCATTTAGGCTCGTTTACCCATCTCTCCGTTTGCGAACACATCTGAGGCCCCAAATCCAATTCAAATGATCAGCCAAGTAAGAGCGTCTGAGACCTTGGTCAAATGCCCCTTGGGAGGCCCAAGGAACCCACCAAGTCAAGACCCCGCCATACGCCTCCCTCCCTTCCCCTCCCCAACCCCCCTCCCAACACTCCCGACCCCCCCACCAAAAAAAAGAGAGAACCTGTGAGCGGCGTGCGGCGTCTTCTGTTGGGTGGCCTTGGGGCTCCAAGCAATGAACTCCCAGCGGCCCGGTCAAAATATGGTGAGCCTGTAGTGGACGTGGGGAAATCAGCAAATCATGGTTCCGTCCGTGTCCCCTCTTGCTTTTGTAAGAGACTTAGAGTCAACATTGCGAGAGTCCAAAATCCGTTTTGTATATCTTCTACTATTCATTGCGCTCATCTTGATCATTCTGTCTCGATCATGCTCTTGAATCAACTAAGTTAGTAAAAACATACATTCTAATGTATTCCCGATGAATATTGGTAAGGCACAAACCCTGATATTGTACACTTTGCAGTTGCTGGGTCGAGTCTTCGTTCACATCACATGCACCGCACTCTCTCTCTCTGTCCATGCGGCAGGTCTTCGGGAACTCGTCCAGGGAGAACTCCTGGGTGTCGCACGGCAAGGGCTTGGATCCCGACGAAACTTGCGGGTGCGATTGGCAGGGAATGAGTTGGAATGATCTGAAATAAACAATCCAACTGGTGCTTTCCTTTCAAGGGGACCGAAGCCTGGGTTCATTCCCACATTCCCTCATCCCTCGTTCTTTCCTTTTAAGGGGACCAACTCCTGTTTGAGTTCCATTTCTCATTCCCTGAGCACCAAGGCAAAGGGATTCTTCCCTCATGGGGACTCCTGGAGCCACAAGCTCCACGCCCAGAAGCAACATGTCCAGGAATTCGAGTCAGGGTTGGACCCCCAAAATGAACATTGGCCCCAAAAAGGCCGGAGGAAACCGTCGAGCCATTCAGTTTGAGCAGCTTTTCGGTCGGATTGAACCCGACACCCCAGTTTAGTAACAGGGTCTCCATTTCTGGGTTTGGTGGGGAATCAAACCACTTTTGGAGGGGTCAAAAACCACCCCCCTATTAATGAACAGGGGTTTACATGAAAGTGGTCTTCCCAAGAAGCGATTAAAATCCAGCAACTCAGGGAGGGAGACATAGTTACACATGACTCTTCTTACAACCCTTGGTATTGTAGCAAACAACGTTGTTTTCTGCAGCTACTACAAATGAACAAAACGAACAAACCAAACAACCTAACGCAATGCCAACAACAATGGAGGTACCGGCATGACACAGGATGATTTCAACATACTCTCAGCGCGTCTTTTCATGACGTCAAAACCACACAGAAGAGAATGCACACATTTAAAAAAAGCCCAGCAGCAAAATCGAAGATTGCAAGACTTCTTCTATCACACAAAATACTGGCTTCAATATGACCAATAATAAACATTCACCACGAAGCAAACCTCTAAAGCTTGGCCTTCTTCGACCCGCTGACTTGTCCCCGATGTATTACATGGCACTATTGCAACCAAACTTACAGCCGTGCTATCTACTTGGGTTGATCAAAAGACCCTTTACATGGGATGACCATTGAGGAAACCCACTAAGATGATGTTTCACCACATAGGAAAGCTGCCCATTGTCAAAACTGGGGTCCTCGCGAGATGGAATATTGATCAACCCTCATTTCAACCAGCCTGAGCGAAGGATTTTTTTGGCTGCGGCTCCTCGTCTTCCTGCTTCTCCCGCGATACCTCCGCAGCCTTGCCTTCGGCCTCCTCCGCTTCCCCGACGTCAGGATCAGACTTGTCACCTCGGCCACATGTGCTTGGTGCGTCCCTCGAAAATCCGTCCAAGGCATCCCCAGATATCCAAAGTAAAGTTGCTGGTCCTGGGGAATCACCCAGGTTTGGGAGTGAACCGGAAGAAACCGGATCCCCCAAAACGGAAACCACTCATTCCGTGCTGAGAGGCAGCCAGTAACAGGGGGTTTTGAGAATGCACATATGAGTGCATCATATTTTAGGGCACCCAATCGCCGAATTTTCCTTCGGGCTTCGACTTGAACCTTTGCTGCTCGACGGCCATAGTTTGCCCCACGCTTTTGAGTTCATGCAACGGCACCTGACATCCGGTGAATCCACCGGACCGTGCACATAGTACTATTGTTATGATGTGTTATATTGACATTCACGTCCAAGGGCGCCTGCAAACCAGAGAATCTCCAAACCCTACAGAGAATCTCGTGTCAAGCTTCTTGAAAGTGGGGTCACGCCATAAACGTATCATTGTAGCAGAAAAAATAATCACTGCCTTCGCAGGGCCGGGATGACCTTTCCCCAAACGCCTTGCTGAAGTCAAAAGGGCCTGAGTCTGCCTCCCATCTCCAGCAAGCACGTCGTTACTTCCCGTGTTTCAAAAGATGAGCTGCCTAACATACTGCAACATAAACGGGCTGTATACCAGCATGACATTCGGCAACGGCAAGCCCGGGATGCCCCCCCCCAAAAAAAAAAAGAAAAAGAAAAAGAGAACGACCAATAGCAAAAGATACAATTTGCTCTTTACCCGAACCTCTTTAGTTGGTGCACGGTTGTTGTTTTCTCAAGCCGACCCCCCGCCAGGTCAAAGAAGAAGAAACGGCCGTGGCTCAAAAATAGGATAACCCCAAAATGGCCCCTGGAAAATGGAACGCACATTTCGACCGGTCCATATCCTGATGGTTTAATTATGACCCATACCCAAATCAGTCATAATCGAAACCTGGTACAGCAATGATGAACCAGAATCAAAAGAATTGCAAAGGCGGCACCCAAAATTTCATGGCTGGGATCGTCCCTTTCCCTCCTAAGGACTCCTATCCCGGTTTTGATGGTGGCCCAAAGGTCGACGGGAAATTTGGTCCGAAGGAGCCCACGAAGATGAAGCCGTGCGCTCTTGGCCGCCTGACCGTCCGAAGTCTGCCAGTCGCCGCACCAGTCGCGGGGGGGGGGGGGGGGGCTGGCCCCCCTCCCCCCCTTTAAAAGGGGTTCCCAGTGAGGTTCTCAGCCCACCAAACAAAACAAGGGATTGGTTTAGGTGCCACAGCAAGATGGTTTATATTCAACCACTATATCTGGGTGAATCGCCAGACTACACCGATCGCAAGTAAAAGAGTCTTCATGAGGTCAGCATGAGCCCGAACTGGGGCCCGGAAATACGAAATTGTGGCGGGTGCATACGATGCAGTGATACCCTTTGGTGGCCGAGTGGTGTCACTGCGTACAAAGTCTCACTACTAATATCCAGTCTCTTCGACAGCCAGGTGGTTCTAACCCTGGTGTTGAGTGACAGATTGAAGCCCTGAACTCCCATCCCAAACTCCGGGAGTCAAAGGTCCGAGATGATGTGGCCGGTTTTGGCTTCCGCCAACCCCCGGTTGGACTTCTCATTGAAGCCCATCCTCTTCTTTGACCTGCGTACCTTTTCTTGCCGGTGCGACAGGCAGGGAATCAGAAATGAAATTACCCCGAGAAAAAACCATCCCCCATGGTTTGCTTCCAGGGAATCCCACCCGGACTCGGTCGTTCCCTACCTATCGCACCTGCAAGTTTGTGGGGAAAAAAATGAAGCCCTGAAGTCCTTAACGGAAACCACCAGTTGGATGGTTTTTCTTGGGATCATTCCAACTCCTTCACTGAGAACCCGCAACTTGGATTTGAGTTGTCGGTGACCTCCCGAAAAAATCCAGCCGCCTCTCAAGGAAGGCGGACCAGGCGAGCCGAGCCGGGCCCCGGCTTCCGGGCACCTGGCAGCCAATGAAGTGGGCGGTCGTCCTTCTTTTGGGGGGGACCGGGCCCCACCTCCTCCAATGGCGGTTGTCCTTTGGTTTGTCCTTTGAGAATGCCAAAAAAAGGCTGGTTGTCCTTTTGGAGTTCCCTTCCAGAACGCCAAAAGAAGGGTACCCTGAAAAACAAGGCAGACCCAATGTCTCGGCGAGGTACATGGACTCCTGTAGCTGTTACATGGTTGATGGGAAACCAAGAGGACAACCATTTCAGGGGCCTATTTGAGAAGCGTAGTCTAAGGGCACCTTGTAAATTGTGAAATTTCAGGGGTCAGGGCCAAGCTTGGACCAAGGAAGTGAAAAAAGATCCATGCATCGATACAGCCCGGGTACAACACCATTGGGGGCTGATAGCTAAATCCTGATCCAGTCAGGATTTTCGGTGGATCCATTTTCGGGGAACTTGCAAAGTACGCGAGCCTCAGTTCAGATATGCCACGCTGGGCAAAGGGCATGGGAATTGGAGATCAGTCCCCTTTGTGTTTGGCAAAAAGTTGATGTCCGTCCCAAATACCGCTGGAAGCTTTGACCGGGGGATGGTCATGTTGCTCCGGCAAAAGCATGCGGCATGACAAACAAGAGCCTAGCATGAACGCCCCCAACAGCAATTTGGAGAACCTCCCCGCAATATGCTCACTTTCAGGGACCCCAGTCTGAGGGTCGTTGGTTCAAACCATTCTCTTCACCTATCGTTCTAATCAAAAGCTCTTACATGGCTATCTTGAACATGGCGATGTCGGATGTATTTCGGAGGGCGTTTCCCAATGGTACAGCGGTTGTTTCCCACACCTCCGGCACGCACTCAATGGTAAAACTCTGGCTTTGGGGAACTGCGATTCCACCTGCCCTGATTTGCTTGGACGGGGCTGTGGGAACCTTGTATCACAGAAATGGTTGGACAAACCCCGAGAGATCCCACAACCCTGTGCCTGGACTTATCCGCGGTGTTTCACGCTTTAGCTGCTCCCCGGATCTGGGGCCCCTAACTGAAGGGTCAGCCATTGGAATGACCAAGAAAAACCATCCAATTGGTGGTTTCCTGCAAGGGAATCCCTAGGTTCATTCCAACATTCCCTAATGTTGATCCCATATTAATCAACCCCAGTTTGTTAATACGGGGGTGCTCCCCTCCAACAGTAATGATTCCCCACCAAACCCAGCAACACCCCCATATTTATAAACAGGGGTTCACCAATATGGGGTAAACAGTACTGAGCACCAGCAAGTTGGTTTTGGTGGTGCAACTTCGCGTGGTCAAACCACGGCGTTTGGGCAGCGGAGGAGCTCCTGAAAACACCGGAATGCCGCAGAGCGGTGGCTCGTCTGCCAAAACACCCCGGAAGCAACCAAATCCAGGCATGAAGGCTAGGGTGGGTTCCCCCTACAAAACACCACAGCAGCAACTACTGACCTAGGTAGGAGGGCATGCAACCACAACTCGGTCCTCCAGTAGAGAGGTTGGAATAAGGGTACCCTTTTCTGTAGTCAATTTTAGTAGGGGAACCCTCCCCAAAAAAGGGGTTAAAAAGGGCACTACTGGGGGACCTAGCATAGGCAGAAGGGCATGCAACCATAATATGTGTCCCAGGGAAAGGATGAACCGGCTCAACTCCTTGGCCAGGAGAATGCTGAGCGAAAAAGCCAACGGGCGCGGATACCGGCGTAGTAGCAGAAATAGGCCGGGCAAATCAACAAATCATATGGGGGAATGAACCAAGACATGTTGACGTGCCGAGCTTTAAATATGCGGATATAATAATTAAACAAGATGCTGCATCTGTGTATGAAACACCATGTTGCTTTGTTGAGCAATCACGTGGTATAGAAGGAGGCCGGAACAAATCATATCCGAATTGGAATTCCGACAGACACCACCTTGATCCTGGGGCCCTAGCTTCAATCCGAATCGATGAGCTCGTGTTACGGTGTGCAAACCAAAACATAGTGAAACATGAACGAGCATATGCGTGGTTGTTCAGCCCCGAAGTGAGCAACAGTGAATTGCAGAGTCCCCCGGGAAAGTTGGAGTCCCCCATGTCATTGACAGTAGGCCATCTTGACCAAATCTCCGAAGAAGGCTCGGCCAAAAGAACGTCAGACGAGTAGAGGCTGCCCCAAGGTTAGGACCAAGATAAAGGCTGTGGGCCGGCAGACCTGCTTCAGATCATTGCTATGAGGTGGGTGTTCCTTCTACTTTTCCTTTGAAATCAGCAAAAAAGACCCTCCCATATTGAGCTGATAGACCTATGATAGACCATTAATTGCCCAATACCAAAAGGGCCGAATGCGACCAAACTCATTGCAATTGGTCATCGGGCTAAGAGAACCCCTGCGGTCAATTGACGTTGCATCGTGTACAAGCCAATGGAGCGTTGCACATCGGTCAACATCTTTTAAAATTTGAGATCAAAGGCACCAGCTCAACCCAACCAACCCGACACAACCAAAGGTGGAGCCATTTTAACCAAACTCCAAACATGGCGGTGTTCCTTTTGTCGGAAGCCGACTCAAACAAACCCAAAAAGAGTATCATTGCTTTTGTTTTAATACTCACACGGATCCTTACATTATACACCTAAACATTGCCTTGTCAATGGTGGTTTCCCGTTATTTTGCGGGAGAATGCCATGTTTCAATTGGTTGCAAAATGTATCTTTTAAGGAGCCCTGAATCATATGTTTGTTTTAAAGAAAATAAGAAAATGCATCTCTTGCCAGGTCAGAACCCCCCCCAAGAGCCTGGATGGCGGCGCATTGGCACAGAAGGTCGCCTGCGCCTTTCCGGCAGCGGCCCCGTTTCGGGCGGCGTCTTTCCGGGATAGCATGGAACCCCCCCCCCCACGCCGTTTCCGGGATGCGTCCCTTCTAGTGTCTCCGGTATCTCCGACGGTTCTTTTCTTCCGGCTGGTTCAAGCGACTCGCGTCCCGGGCAATCGGCTTGCAGGAACAAGTGTCAAGAAATCGCAGGTCTCAAACGTGTTGGTTCCCGGTGCCCCGACCTGATCTGCTGCAGGGAGAACGGGAACTACTTCGCAGGTCCGAGACAGGATGAGTGAAGTAGCTGTTGACGGTGTCCTCACCCGACAATTGCCCTGGTTGACAACGCTCCAACATTTGGAGGTCGCAAATGTTCAGATGACTAAAAAGATGGAGAAAGGGCGAAAGGACTTGTTGGTGAATCCCGGACCAAAGGAAGTGGGACGGACTGCGACCACAGCAAGCGGTTTGGAAAAGGCATGCAACTGCGCATCCTGCAAGTGAGCTCTAAGGTTTGGCGGAGACATGTCGGACAAAAAGCGCCCTTGCAGTCGCCTCTAAAGCTCAGAAGAACCCAAAGCGGCAAAACCGAAACAAGAGCCAGAAGCAAGAACATACCAAGAGAAGTGAAGGATGAATCTTGTCGACAAAAGATTGAACGCGATCTCATCTCTTAGGTGGATTGGCAACCGCCAAAAGTCAATGCGGTGTGTACACACTGCCATTCGACATGACTTAAGGTAAGAAAGAAACGAGAACAGCAACAAGAACCGAAAAGCAACGGCTGGCAATGTGTATCTGGTTGTTTTTGGCCCACCTTGTTGGCGCAAGCTTTGAACATGTTGAGATAGACTTACAAGGGCACGGGGCAAAGGAGCAAGGGCTCATTGCCGGGGAAACCCAATTTCAATGAGAGGAGTAAAGAAGATGAAGCCTAGACCTAAGCTTGCCCCTGTGCCCAGCCTGGACAAGAAGCCTGCTCTCAAGACGGCTCAAAAGAAAGCCTGGAACCTGCAGTTTCAAACACTATATTATTTGATGTTGGCTGGAACGGCCATGGGAAACGTTGGGCTTGTCCCTGCTGTCTAGTAAGGCTGTCCTGCTCTCACATGGCCATAGACTACTCGAAGCATTGACCGAACAAATGTGCTTTTCAAGTCCTTCAAAACAGTCCTCATAGCACAATGTTCGAGTTGTTGCTTGACATATGGGTGTGTACTTGTGGACATTTCTAATAGCACCCCTTTCGGGTTGTGCTCCAGGAAAGCTACCGGGAAACCAACCAGTTGGGGGCTTCCTCCATCGCGAAAGAAAACAAACTGACAAACTTAACAAATGTGTTTGGAGAAGTGAACCCTCCAAGGCTTGGTGGACTTCATTCCCCCCCCTTCAACGGATGTCCACTAGGTGCTCCAGCAGAGAGGTTAGAATAAGGGTACCCTATTTTCTGTGGTCTATTTTAGTAGGGGAACCCTCCCAACCAAAAAAGGGTGAGAAAGGGCACCTAGGGGACCCAGTCCACCCAACGACCCTTAGAGCGCAGGTGCCTGCGCGCACACCCCGCGGCGTCCAGAAGCATGTGGCGGCCATTTCCCCGTGCGAGCGAAGCGAGCGGATGCGGCGCCTGATTCGATGGGATACCCTTCGCTGTGCTGGGTCTAAAGTTGAGTGGGCTTGTGTTCATAGGTGTCCTTTTAAGGTAAACAAATGGCCCTGGTGGCTGATTAAACCACCAGGTAGACCAGGGCCATATATTTTTCTACCAAAGCAACCAAAAAGGACACCTATGCTTGTGTGTTGGAGGGTACCATTTGTATAGTTGGTTTCAAGGGAAGCCAAAAGCAAAAAAACACCAGTTATAGACAGTGGGTGGTTTCAACCATTTTGTTCAGGGAGTAAAAGTGTGCTTCGAAAGAGTGGGGCTCTCCTTGTGGCTGCATTGGCCAAAAAATCCGAGGAATAGCTCTCGCGTTTGCTGCACCGACGGGAAATCAACCAAAAGCTGAGCTCCCAGGGGGTCGCTGAGGTTGCTCCGTTTGCAGAACCCCACACCTGAGGTTGACATCTGAGGTTGACATCTGTTCTGTCGTTTGAGTAAAGAGCAACATATGTCCGAGGTTACCAGACGTGGACCAAAACGTGTGTTGCGCAACATGATGCTTGTCGTCTGAGTCTTTCAGTCCAGCTTGAGCCACCAGCCGAAGCAAAATGTTCTTGCTTCCGGCAGATTGACATGGAGCCCCCCCCAAAAAAAGGAAAAAGAGGAACCACCCCGGCTTAGAGGAATCTCCTTTGGGGGGTGCGGTTGCATGCTGGATAAACCCAGCCTACAGGAGTTCTCAACCGTTCTTGACCACATACATATCGGGGCAGTCTGAGGCATTCTGCGCTTGGCCAGCGAAATGAAACGGACCTCTTGGTGTGCCTTTGTTTCTGATTGTTGTTCCTGTTCATAAGCTTGTGAAATACATAGATTTCTATATGTACACGCATTACATACAATAGAAGCCGTCATATTCGGGTCTGTCCTCTTTGGGGGGTACCCTTAAGCCAAAGGAAGATCGAAGCCCACTCAATGAGAGCTCCCTCGTGAGGTGCCCCTCACCGGGATTGGCTTGCTGGATCGAAGACTGCCATCCAACTCTTTTCAGGTTCAAAGCGGAGAAGGATCCCCGAAACTTGAGGAGAAGGAAGGCTGTTCTTGCATCGAATTTCCATTCTCACATCCCTGCCAGTCTCTATCTTTATCACCGGCAACTGATTGAAGAGCCCTTGATGTGTCAAATCGAAAACTGATTTGTGTGAGGGGTACATCTCCCAGCTGCAAAAGCCACATGCCAAGTCTGGGCTAAAGCTTCTGATTGAGTTCTTGAACTGGCAGGAGTCATGCTTGTTACCCACCCCAAGCATTGCACCATGCAAGCAAAAACATGTTGAAGGGCAGAACAAACTCGAGACTGTCTACACTTAGGGGTGTCCCTTCACCTCCTGAAAAGCCGGCTAACCCCCCCTCCTTTTGGGTAGTTTTGGTTTCAAAGGGAAAACCACGCCCTCAAACCCGCCATCTTCTTTTTGACACGCCAAGCATGGCATAGCTCCCTATACCCTCTTTGGCTTACATGGCCTTGCCAGTTTCTGGCAAAGCCTTGCCGGAAAACCACACCCTCAACCTCCATTTGCTCAAGTCCCCTGGAAAAAAATATAATTATGTCCAGTAGTGAAATCGATTCCCTTCAAAACCAACCGGGAAAATCAAAAAAATATTCATTTCACCAAATGGAAGTAGAAGTGATAGGTTCCCTTTAAAACCAACTGAGAAAATAAGAAATATTCATTTCACCAAATGGACGTCAAACCCACCGAAACCTTTCGGGGGGCCAGCGCGAGCCCGCCTTTCGCCAGCGCCGGAAGTTTCCGAGGTTCCTGGAGCGGTCATGCGCGAGCCACGGGCTCAGAATTTGCGCGGCCCCAAGGACATGGCGGTGGTGGTCAAAACCGTGAATCGGGATCCCATTTTGGTTGGGTCCCGGTGAATTCACCACCCATTTTAGGACCCACTTTAGGTGGGGATTGGGATGTTCACGGGAGTACGATTTGGGTTTTGACCCATGGCCACATGGGATCAAACTCGGGCCTGGTCCCCTGACAGTTTGTGGTTGAAATTTGGAGAGTCCGTTCTCGTCCCAGGGTCATGGAGGACTGATATCTTGACTGATTTTCCCTTTGGCTTCCCAGTTACCTTGAAAACATGCCCCAGAAGAACCATTCTTAACAAATGACAAGCCCTGCCTTTTATCTTAACCAAGGGGAACATGAACCAAAGGGTCACACTCCCCCATCCCCCCATTTTTCACGAACGTTGCTTTGCTTGGTTGTTGCCCTACGTTTGGTATCACGGTTTGTTGTTTGTGTTGCCTGAGTGTTGGCCAATTTAGCTTCATTAGCTTTAGGCCCGCAGGGCGGAAGGGCGGAGGTGTTTGGCAGTTGCTGGTTGGTCCCCCAGTTGGCTTCGCAACGGATATGGAACCCGCTGGCTTCGGCTTCGGGTTCCTCTTGCTTCCTTGAAAACCGCTGAAAGGCACGCCTCAAGGGGGTCACACACTCAGGGGGAAAGGCGATGCAAGCCCTGCCTTGTTGAAACTGGGTTCTTTAAAGGATCCACCTGGACCTGGACGCAGACCGCTGACCCCGCTGGCACCATTGGGGAACACGCACGCCTTTGCAAGCCCCTGGAGAGTACGCTTGTTTCGCATGCTGCCAAGACGTAGGCCTGCTGCTTCTTTCGCAGCATGCGCAAAACTCTGCGAAGAAGGATCATAGCCGGCTTTGGCATGGCCAGTTTGTTGACGGTCCAGCCGTCCATAACGGTGTCCTTCCCCTTCATTGGTTGCGAACGCACCATGTCATCGGCAGCGACCGCCATGTTCGCTTCAGACTAAACCACCAGGGGACCGCAGGTTTTAGTCCTCGTTGCCATTTACCAGGGTTCCATTTTGGGTACCTGTGTTTGACCCACAGGCAAATGGGTCTGTCTCAGAGAGAACCTCTCTTTCTTTGAGAAAGGAAAACCGAAAGCAAAAGCTCCCTTCCCAAGTCTCCACAATACCCCCCCCCCCCCCCCCAAACTATCATACCCCCCCCCCCCCCATTTGGGTGGGGTGATTTTGGTTTAAGGAACCTTGAATCAAACACTGGGAGTTTGGGGGAACGGTTCGGTTCTGGGCGCTCAACACCGAGATGCTCGCAACAGCGAACGACCTGAGCCAAAACCCACTAAACATACAAGGTTGTGGTTGTCTTCGCCTTCAGTTGTGTCTTCCTCAAAAGTTGATCAAAGTTCCGGGTGAGTTTCAATACGTCAATCCGACAACAGTCGCTCGATGGATTGAAGGGGATCGAATGTCTCTGAGTAAGGATCTGTCTAGAGGACCCCCCCCAAAAAAAAGGCTGCTGGTTTCGCTTCAAAGGGTACTATCAAACAACGACACGCCCCCGTTCGCCAAATGAGGCGTAACAGGAGTCCTTTCGCTGCCCAAGTTAATCAAAAACGCTTCACAAGGGACAAGGGCGGACCAGATGCCCGAAACATCACTTTCGAACAAGAAGTTTTATGTCCCCGTGTTTGTTTAGATTCCTCCGCGGTTTTGCGGCCTGTGCTTGCCAAGATGTTGCAGGCAGCCGGAAACCCGCAGCCCCCCCCCCCCGCAGCGCCTGCGTAGGCGCTGCGTCTCCGGGTGTTCTTCGCCCCAGGCGGCGGCGTAGCCTTTGGCCGCCCGCAGCAGCAGCGCCTGAAATCAGATGAATCCGGCGGCCGCGCTCCCGGAGGTTTTGGGCCCAAGAAGGAAGCAAACCGTTGGTTTCCCAAAATGGTCTTCCCACATGGTCTCCCGTTGTTCCACTAAAAAGGTCCTCCCAAAAAGCCAAAAGTATAAAGTGGTGCCCGTGTTTCCCGTAGCTGTGAAAATGGAATCCAATTCTGTGATACAACAAAAAGGGCCTCCCAAAGACTAACCCCCCATACAGGGGAGTTTACCTAAAGTATCACAGAAGTGGGGATAAACCCCTTGATCCCACAAGCCTGGTGGTTGACACTAAAATGGTCCTCCCAAAATGCCAAAGTATGATAAAGTCCACGAACTCAGGGAGAAGGATGTAGCTAGTGGTCCTACATCACCTGGACAAAAGGTTGAAACACTTGCCCGGTATCTGAGTATGCAAACCCGTCCCCTGAGACTCCTTGCAAGCCTATTCCTAAGCTATTTGCAGCGGGCCAAATGTCCACCCTTGACTAAACCAATAAGATTTAGTCCTAGGAGAAAAGTTAAATTGGCCCGCCACAAATGGCTTGGGAAGAGGTGGAAACGGGTCATGCCAAGAGCTAAATGTTGGTTCGAAACTCTCATCGGGGGGGGAGTCGGAGCCAAGCCCTGCTGCCACATTTGTAAAATGTGGTTGCAACAAACTCAGCTAAGTATGTCGAACATCCCAGATGCGGGCTTCAGCCATGCGGAGTTGTCCTTAAATGGGGCAAACCCTCAAATGGGTGTTGTTCAAGTCCAAAAAAGGGGGCTACCCTCACAAAACACATTAACACATGTTGAATGCCAATCCAACTGTGGAGTCCACGCATTGTTGCACTCTTTCAGCACGATCACAGGGGGGTCATTGTTGGATCCAACAAAACACCGCGCCTTGCGCAACGAAGCCTCTGTAACCAGGGGAAGTGTTTCCGCAAGTCCTGTCCTTTCGTGAGGCCTGTGTAAACCTCGGCCTCCGGGCCTTTGGAGAAGCGAAAGCCAATGGATGTATTGGGGACATGTACTGAATGGAAACAAAGCGGGCGCCATGAAACACTGCAGCAAAAACGTTCTGAGAAGGCGGAAGGAAACCTAGCCTAATGTCTATGCCCTGGTCTTTTTGGTTGATAGCTTATTGAGCCCGTATATAGTTGTTCAAAAGGGTAGTGTTCAAAGGAAAACACCCTGTGGCGGCCTCTGGTGGATGTCAAAATATGTGCACTTCGGGCTTGTGTCCAATGAATGACTGGCCTGGTGGAGAGAGTTGGGGGCTTCATATCGGAGAGGCATGTTTGTGTTTTGCCCGGAGCCCAAGGTCATGTGAGCCACTTGCCATACGCCTTGGAAAGCGACTGTGCTTTCCATGTTGGTCTAGAGGGAAACCGGGAAGCCTATCCCGTTCTTTTCTTTTCATCCAACCCCCCAAACCCCTCCCCCCAAAAGCCCGCAGGCCTCCGCCTCTGCTAGCTTGGTCTTCTGCTGCTTCAACAGCACCGCCAGGTTCCGAGCCTCATGGGAATCTGCCCATTCGAAGCAACGAACCACAGAGCCAAAGGAAACTCAGCGCTAGACCTTGGTTTACACCCAGGTTTACACCCAGGGCACCCAAGGAAACCGAGTTGGACCTTGGTTTTACTCGGAATCATTTGGAATCCACAACATCCGTCAGGGAAATCAAGGAAGCTCACCGCTAGACCTTGGCGTTACTTGGAATCTGCAGTTGGAATCCACAGGCTCCGTCCAAGAGACATGGATAACACCTGGGATGTTCGAATTGAACACTTCACCCAGCATCGCCGAAATTGTGGAATTGCCCTCCCTGTTCGCATCCAAACATGTCCAACCCACAAAAGATTGTGACCTTCCTGGAATCAGATCTACAGGTAGATGTGTCTGTCCTTTTTGAGGGTACCCCCCTGTTGGTTGGTTTTAAAGGGGATCCAAAAAGATCCTCTAAACCTCGCTTCCTGAGTGGATGAGCCCGAAAAAGGTAACCAAACTATTTATTTACCACCAAAGTGGTCCCCAAACCCCAAAAAACCTCAAAATCCAGGAAAACTCAGGAGGAGAGAGAGAGAGAGAGAAAAAAAAGAAGAAACGACGGACACACCCATCTGGCATTCAGCTTCTTTCTCCGCCTGCCCGGGCGCCCGCGCGCAGCCCAAGGCCTGGCTCGCAAGTGCTGAGGACCTTTGGGTCCCGCCCGGGTGGGGCGGTTTTTCTGCCGCCCTTGTGCAAGTGATGAGGCCAAAGGGGACCAGGTTTTGAAGGTTGTGCTGCAGGCCCATGGCTTTTTAAGGCTGGAATGTTCTTCTGAAGAACCGACCAGAGTTGAGAAATGGAGTCTGACCCCTCAAAAAAACCATCCATCGGGTCATTTCCTTTAAGGAGACGTTATTTACAAGGAAGACCAAGGAGGAGGCCTTCAAAGTGCCTTTTGCCGACAAAGCTGAACAGTGAGGCAGTTTTTGTTTGAGTTTCTGAGGCTAGGAAAGGACAAAATAGCCACGGCAAGCGCTTTTTTGGGGCTTAAAGGTTTTTCTGAAGCACCGACAAACAGTGAAGCCCCACTCGCGACGATGGAGGAGCACGGAGCCTTGTTGGACGACGACTGTGCCATCTGGCAAACGGGCAACCAGCTGAACCAGTCTCTTGCCATGTCTATTAGTTGGGCAGGCAAGGGAAAACATCAGGTGTTCAATCGGCAGGGTAGCTATTAGATGGGCAAGCAAGGACAAAATCTCAGGTTTTGAAGGAAACAGGGAAGCACCGAGCATAAATCCCCCCGGAAAAAAATATAAAAATCACCCCGCGCAAAAAAAAACCGTCACACCCGTCAGCCCTCCCTCCCAAAGCCCCCCACCTGCGGATGGTCTTCTCCCAGGGACTTCTCATAAGCCTCCAGCGCACTGCGCAGCAGCGGCTCCGCCTCACGAGTTGCGACGGGACGTCGACTCAGCGCCCGAAGCCGGTGGCCCCCGGGTTGCATGGAAACTCCCGGGGCGTCTTGTTGATCTTGTTGTTTTCATGCTTGGAATCGCAGAGATGTCCTCAATCATTCGAATGGGATTGCGGGGTAGATGATCAAAATACAATTCAGGGACCTAGACTAAGAGTGGGATCCCAAGTAAAGGACCTTCATCATGGTGAGCTTGCCATGAAATAGGCAGATGAATTCATCCTAAACAAATTGCAGCTCATATGTGAGCGCATCAGATGTACATATATATAAATAGTATATATATATATAATACTCCCATTGTGACACGAGTCTGGGGTAAATCATCATAAACAACCACACACATTATCCTACGATCATAGTGAAATCTGTTGGCCCGCAACCTCGTTCTGATTTTCAAGTAGAAGCGGGCAAAAGGGCTGAAAAGACTAGGGGCCGGCTCCAAAAGGCCGGACACCTTGGATTGGACAAAGGGTACCCTGGTGGATCCTCCTTCCCTCTACGTCTCTAAATTTTAGTTTTGGCCTGGGTAACTTGGTTTAATCTTAGGCTACAGTAAACATCATATGTTCAGCACCTTGCTGGTGCTCAGTAGGGAATGACCGTTCCGGGGTTTGGGAATGAACCTGGGGACTTCCCTAAGAAGGAAATCATAGGGGATTTTTTTTTCATTTCTTTTCGGGATCGTTCTATTTCTCATTCCCTGCCTATCACACCAGCAAGCTATGTTTCATCTTCGGCCTGCCCTGAACTGGGCTGTCCTCAGATCCCCTGCTCAAAGTTCAACTTCTCTTGGGTTTGCTGGAAACTACCACTAAACCAACCAAAAACCGAACACGCTAAGGAACCGGATGGCCCCGAACCGCCAAGTAAATACATAGGTTTGGAGCCCCTGGTCAACCGTGGAGTCGAATCCTCCCCGCCTCAGCGGTGCGGCCCTGAAGATGCAGGATCTGCGCCAGCCTGCCGACGCAGCCTTACTTCCATTTGGTTCAGACCCCTGGAAGAAAAATAACCAAAAAGTCCAGTAGCGATAGATTCCCTTTGAAACCAACAGGGGGAAAATTAAAGAATAGTCTTAAGCAAATGGAAGCTTCAGCTCCGTTGGGCATATGTGCGTAGATGCCCCAAGATCTGGGCAACTTGGGCGACAAAATACCCCCAGTTTTGCCAGCGTCTAATAACTGTAGTGGAATTCCACAGGGTAAATTAATGATTGGAACCACTGACAAATCAGGGACATCTTCTTCTTTTTTCTACGAAAACTGACCTAAACCATCCTGGCTTGAACAAAGCATCCCTTTTTAGCCGTTTCCTTTGTTGAAAGAGAGCCATCTGTTTGGGCAAAATGTCCTGTCGCTTAATAATATTATAATAAGGGGCCTTGTCCTGATCATGGATTGAAGAAGTCCTGCCTTTTTGGCCATTGCCCTTGAAGACAAAGGGGCTTCGACGCTTCTTGATGGCCCCTAGAACAAAGGCAAACCCGGTCGACACTTTCTCCCCCGTATTTCCTCACACAAAAAAAATAACATGTGATCTAGAGGAAGCCTCAAGACAGAAAACCGTGGGCACACGGGAAGAATGGAAGCGAATGTTACAACAATAACCGCAGCTTGCCGAGGGTTTCTTGGGTGCTATAGATTCCCCGGCAAAAAGTTGAACTGTTTGCTGGTTAAAAGGAATATGAAGGGAATCCAAAAAGTGAAAGTCTAAAGATCCAACCCAATAGCGGTAGAGGGTTTTTGGCCGGACATGTTCTTCTGTGGCGTGGAGATGTCTGGCAATGATTTGACCCCGCTTCCGCCGGTCTTTTCCGGCTCTTGCGCGAAGTATTTTTGGGGCGATTGGCTTCTTTTTAGGGCGAATGTGAAGCAAACCGTCCAGCTATGCACTTCAGAGAAACCCCTTAAAACTCCAAGCACTGGGGAAGTTAATCTTTTACAGACATATAGCCCATGTTACCCAAGAAGTTGAACAGTTGTGCTTTTTAAGAGGTAAGTCAGAGAAGCCACACAGATTCATCCAGAGTAAAGGACAAGGACAATCGACCGGATTCCACTGGCAAAGAATCCGAAACCTTCATTGGATGTTGGTTCTAGTCATGCAGGCCTCACCGAACAAATATTCGAGACAGCAAATCTGTGCTTAATTAACTTTTCATTCACGAATCGGACAAAAGGGACCTCGATTTTTTGAGCTTGTTGATGTACATGGCCCAATTCCATCATCTTGGCTCGGTCGTCCCCGTTACTTACACCCACACAAGGAATTTGTGCCATCTACTTCCCCCCCAGTTGATCTATGATTTTTTGGCCGACCAACAGGGTGATCCCATTTAAGCGGGAATCCTTCTAGGTTTTTTCAGAAAAGAGGTTAGAATTGTGAATCTGGCTATCAGTCCGGCGCACTTTTGTCTGTGCGCTTCGAGTACAAAGCGGCTTCCGGATCCGCTCCTAATCTCAAACCTCAAGCAAGGGGCCTCATGTGGCTACCCTCAAACTGTTTTGGAAAACCTGCACTCCTCCCCTTTGTGTCCGGGAGGACTCAAATGACAAAAGTCGGCAGTCAGTGCTGCCTTGCGAGCCTCTCACGTCATCCGAAGAACGTGTGCAGCTCAAGCCGCTCATAGGAGTCCACGCGGAAACCGGCCCGCGTCTCTCATCATCTCTTCATTGTCCTGCGTTATTCCTCCCTGGCAGAATCTGCACGGCTGCAAGGGTCGAAGTGGAGCCTGTCCAATGCCGGCGCAGTGAATGGTCGCGTGCAAGAAGCCGTCATCTCCTCTCCAGCTCCTGGCCCCACGAACTCGCTGCCTGTCTCCTCCCATCCAGCATCTGGAACAAGGCAAAACCGCCCGCATTCCGCGAACTGTGGCGTTTCGCAACCCGTAACAGTTGCGGCGCCAATGTATCTTGTCACCCATTCCGGTCAAGTGATATACCTCGACCGCTTCAGGCTCAGGTTGCAACTCCCGCCACCGCAGCTGCTCCATCACCCGCAATTCCTCCCGCCAGCGTGCATTCAAGCGTTCGTCCTCCGCATCCGGTTCCACTGGCCTAGGCGGAGGTTGCTCCACAGCTGGCTGTTCTGGTTGATCAGCGTCTCCCCCTCGGCGCCTCCTCATCGAACTTGCCCTCGAGGGATTCCCGCTTCACGAGCTGGAAGACCTGGCCGCCGAAGTGCTCTGTGTTCTCGGCACCTCCACGACTTCTTCCTCACTTTCCGTTTGGGTGCACTGCTCCACACCTCTCACTCTCAATCTTCTCATCCTCAGACAGATGTCCGATGCCACTTCGTGAACCAAGCGGTACACCACAATCGCCACCACTGCGATCACCAAGACCACCACCGCAAGGTCAATCTTCTCCTCCTCCGGCTGTTGATTCCCTTGTGCCCTGCATCCTTTGATCATGATCAAGATCACCAGCAGCTTGATCCACTTGTCCACCTCCGGCTGCATTACCACGGCCTTGTTCAGCCTGCTTTGTTCAGCCTCTTCTCGCATGGCCTTCAGGTTCCACAAGGCACACAGCTCCTTGATCCTCGCCGGGCCCAGTGGCTTTGTGCCAAGATCGGCCAACATCTGTTGTCCAGGGCAATGGCGTAACTCCCAATCCCCGGCTCTGATTCGCCACCGAAGATGAAACGCTCGAAGCCGGAGATGCCGCGTTCGCCAGGAACCCGTCACGTCGGTGGCAATCGCCACCGCTGCTGCGTTGTCAGACAGCAGCATCTTCTTGAAGTCGTCCAGCCCCAAGGTGTCCGTGATCAGCGCCTCAACACTGTCCCCAAGGATCACGCTGTCAATGGCCTCGATCAACTCACATTCCGCCGTGGATAAGGCCGGAAACGCTTGCTTCCCTGCTTTCCACGCGATGACAGTGCCGTTCCACGACACCAGGGAGCATCCTTGGCTTCTTTCCCCAAGTGGGGCGAAGGAGGCATCAGCGTATGCCTGAAGTCCTGCTGCTCCATGATCTCCTGATACCCACAGCCCCCAGTCCTTCGTTGAGTCCAGGTAGCCCAGGATATAGCCCTTCGGGTTCTTCGACACCATACTGCATAGTCGGCTCATGCTGTAGAGGAGGTCGGGCCGTGTTCTCGTCATCAACCACAAGATCTCGCCCGTCACCTTCTGTGCCTTTGCGAGATCCGTCATCGTGTGGTTGCCGATCGTCTCCTCAGCTTCATCCGCCATTTCCTTGGACATGGGCGCCTTCGCCTTCTTCACCTCGTCCTTGTGCCGGGTCAGCAGTTCCTCCACGTAGTCCTGCTGGTGTAGGAAGATTCCATTCTCCTCCTTTTTCAAGTTCATTCCCAGAAATCGGATCTGATTCCCGGTCTTCAGCACCTCCGGCACACTCGTCTCCCATTTCTCCGCAATGATGGCCTCAAACCTTTCTCGCACGGCCTCCTCCGCCGCAGTGAGGACATCATCGACATAGATGGTGACCAGTCCCGCCAATATCTCCTCCGCGCCTCGGATTTCCAGGATGCGCCACAAATTCTGTTCTGCAGCACACTGATCCAACCTGTAGTAGGCGCCGTTGACCTCCCACTGGACCGTCACGAGCTCCGCGTCTCGGTGGTCTGACCACCTTCTCGGGCTTTGGCGAAGCCCATACATGGCTTTGTCTATCAGCCATAGCTCTCCGGGCTCTGCGTAGCCCATCCTGACCATGATCGCCGGCGGTCGCATCGCCACCAGGTGCTCCGGCTCCTTTTCACCATGAAGATCTGCGTTGAGGAATGCAGACTTGATGTCCAACCAGGACATCGTCCATTTCCTCTCCATGGCGACCTTCACCTGCAAGCGGATCGCCGTGATGTCCGTACCACCTGCAAAGGTGTCTCCTTCCGCCTCCGAATTCTGGGCGACGTAGTTCCCGCACACCACCAACCTGGTCTTCCGCCGCGAACTTCCCGCTTTCACACTGAAATTTGCCTTGCCCGGGACCACGGTCAGCTTGTTGCCCTTCTCCTTGATCAGCTTCGCGGCTTCCCCAGGAGCCAATCGCCGCAACGCCTTCTTTTCTGTCATCAGCGAGTCCAGCTCCATCTTGATCGACGTTGCCCAGGCTTCCTTGTCCGCGATCACCTCATTCGTGGAGACCATCTTTGTATGCAAGACCTTCTCTGCCTCCTTGTGGTCCGGCACGGTCTGCTTCAGGTTCTCCTCTTCTTCCTTCAGCTTCCTCACCATCTTGAAGGTGACCTCAGCTGCGTTTTCTCCGTCTTCCAACATCCTTTCTTCCTCCTCCATGATGAGGTTCCGCAACAATCGAATCCGCTCCGCAACCTGCTCACCTCCTCCATCGTCCATCCTTCTCGGATCGCTCGTCTTCATCCTCAGTCGTCTTCTCACACGCAGAGCTTCATCAAACAGAGCTTCCCCATCAGGATTCTCTTCCTCCTCTTGTCCGTCTGCTCTCGGGGCTTCCCCTTCTCGCAAGCCTGAGAGAACCTTCGACACCGCCACCACCTTGTTGTCACAGTCCAGCTTCACCGCATGACCGTGGGTGATGTCATAGAGCGGGGCCAGGTACTTGCCTCGCTGATTCTTTGCCTCAAAGGATTTCTGCTTCCAAGCTCTCTTTGGTACCACAACCTCCTCTCCGAATTGGTACTTCGGATGGTCTCCGGTCTGGTCGAACCTGAAGCGCACCTCCGAGACGTAGCGGGCGATGCAGGGCCACCATTTTGGTTCCCATCGTGATGCTATCAGCACCCTCCTTACCATGGATTTGACGACCCCAACTGCGGCCTCCGCCCTTCCGTTCTCCTGCATCTGATCCAGTGTCCTGGTGGACTTTCTAATGTCCCTCAGTCGGCACCAGCTGGCTAGTTCCTTGCTCATGAACTCGCCTCCTTTGTCTGAGTGCAGTCTCAGCACCAGGTGGCCCTCTCTCCTCAGTCTGATATAGACCTCCTGGATCGCCGCCAAGACCTCCCGCTTGTCCTTGGACTTCAGCGGGACCGTCATGTACAACGTCTTCAGCGGGTGCGGTTCCTTCTGGATTTCCGGAATCACCGGCTGCTCCTCCTCTTCTCGGGCTCCTTCCACATTGAAGCCTTCTTCTTCCTCCTGCTCGCCCTGATCCTCCTGTTCCTCCACCGGTAGTAGATCTTCTCCCTCGCCTGGTTCTGCAGCAGGAAGTTCCTCACCTTCCTCGGTGTGGATCTGTGGCCATGTAAACGCAGCCACGAGCAGGTACCTTCGGTCTTGGACTCCATCCACATCGATGCCCTTGATGAACGGTCCACTCAAATCCACGGAGAGGACATTCCCGGCTGGATGTCGTACCCTTCGATGTGGCCTGCCCTTGGCTGAGGCTTCCTGACAAACTCGGCAGTCCCGCCGAAACGGCAGGTGCCCCAACTTCACATGCTCTTCCCACGACAGAGCCTTCACCTTCGTTCTCGACTCACCGTCCACCTCCTTCCGAAGGCATCTGGCGAGCTCCCGCATCATCCCAGGGGCCCATCGAGCCAATGCCTTCGAGGAGCTGAACTTCTCCTCATCCGTCATCATCCACCTCGGCTTGTCCATCTCCTGTTCTTGCCCTTGATGACCTCCTTGATGTAGCTTGCAGATGCCTTTCTCGGGGCCTCTGAAGTCCATGGTGGTCCCGATCGTTGTAGGCTTCGCCGCTCGCCCACCCCAGCCACCTTGCAAGAACGTCACCCTCTTGAGCTCGTGGAGCTTCTCCAGGGCTTCCCACTCCGGCGTCCGCCACCACGATGCACATCTCGGCTCCGCCTGCGGCTCTGCCGGTTGCTCCAGGAAGAACTCCACAGCGCCCCCTTTCTCCTCTCTGGCCTTTGCCGTGAGGTCCGCCAGCAAGTAGACCAGGATGAAGCGAAACATGAGCACGTCATCCTCGTACACAATGGCTTCTTCTCCTTGGTCCATTCCCGGCAATCCCCAGGGATGTTCCACCGTTCTCACCGGTCGCGGTTTGGCCCTGTTGAGCAATGGGAAGAACCGCAGCACTGATCGCGTCCTGCAATTCGGGCCCCCCACCACTGCCTTGATTCGGTCATCCAAAGCCAGCCGCACCAAGCCACCCATGAGCTCGTCGTCCATGAGGTCGTGGCTGTTATCGCGGAGGATGTCATACTCCAGGATGTCCCTTGGATCCCCTCCTTGCTCTTTATAAGCCCGGGACAAGTCAAATCCCTCCTCCGGGCCTGCGAACAAGTGCACGATCGCGCCTCCCTTTTTCTCAAGCCTTCTCCTCCGGCTCCTATTCAATCCCAGAGGTTTCCAGTCCTCCGCCGGGTTGACCATCAACTTTTCCTTGATTGCCTCCGGCACACCGTCGAACACCGGGTGCGTCTCCACCACGTTCTTGATGAAGTCCACCTCATCCCGCTTTGACAGCGCCTTGACCCTGTAGCGGTTCACCCCCTCAAGCTCCTGGATCAAGCTGAGGGCGAGTTCTCTCGGCAACTCCGGGCAGCCTTGACTCATCACCACCGGTAGACGTCCTCGTCCAGGGTGCACCACCGCACATGTCTTCCCGCTCCACTTGACCTGGCAATTCAAGTCCTTCGTGAGCATTCCCATGGGGATGATCGGCTGTATCCGCTCGTCTTCCGCAACCAGGGTTCCTCCCAAGGTGACCTTCAGGCGGTACGTCTCTCCAGCCGCCAGCTCTACGGTCTTCTCCTCATAGTCCGAGGTGTCCTCGCCCTTCATCATGGGCCTCAGCGGGTGCGTTGCTCCTGAATCCACCAGTCCGCGCATCCCACCAATCTCCATCTTCGACAACCTTACCTGTCGAACCCGCATCTTTTCTCGCATGCCGTCCAGCTGCTTCTGCAGGTCCATCAGCTTCTTCTCGTCGTCCTCCGGTCCAGTCTTGCCGGTCTTGACGTTGATGCTCCTGAGCATTTTGGTCGCCTCCTGGAGCACGTCCTTCATCGCGTCCGTCTCTTTGTCGCCCGATGCCGAACTCGCCGCTCCCGGTGAATCCTCTTGCATCGCTGCCGACGTAGTCGCCCTTGGAGTCGTAACCTTCTGGCTCTCCGCAGCGACTTCCTTCTTGGCTTCCTCCTCCGCGTTGACCTTCGCCGCCTTGGGCTTTCGGTCCACGTTGCTCTTGATCGCCACGGGGCAGTCCTTTCGCATGTGCTCGCTCGCCCCGCACGACCAGCATCTCATGCGTTCATCTTTCTGGTCATGGCTCCAACGGCAGCCACGTCCTCTCCTGCAGCCCTTTTCGGTAAGGAAAAACTTGCAGGGTTTCCCACCTTCTCCAGCGTTCTTCACCTCATTCTTGGAGTCCACAGCCTCTGCCTTCTTGATACGGGTGTCCGTGGCCTGCGCCTTCCCCGCTGGGGCCTTGACCTCCTTCTCCAAGTGGGCGATCGCTTCCACCTCTGACAAAACGTGCTCCGCGTACTTCTCCACTGCCTCGTGAGAGGGGATGGAGTCCAGCTGGAGCGAATTCCTCGCCAGAGCCATCTTAAACGAGAGCTCCGGCTGCATCTCCACCACTTTCTTCACCATCTTGCTGAGGGAGCGGGCCAGTACCGTGGGGTCCGGAATGGTCACCCCAAGTTCCTGTGCCCTCTGCTTCCACCTCATCCATTTCCTCAACCCAACCACCAGCGATGCCAGGGAGTCCACCTCAGCTTTCCAAGTTCTTCAGGATGACCGATTTCTCCACCAGTCCTCCCAGCTGGTAGCTCGCCATGAGCTTGCATAGAATCGCATAGCAAGTCATGGACTTCGTTGCCACCATCTCTTCACGAGCTCCGTCAGGGAGAGCGCGAAGAAGTAGTCCCACAGCCCGCCTCTCCAACCTCCGCCATTTCGGTTCTTGGAGCTCCGGAGGGTCCTTCGGCTGCAGCTTGAGTCTTTCCAGCGGCGGCGTAGTCTGATACCTTCCGTACCACATCCTCGCCGATTCCACCACTTTCTGCCACCATTGCTGTGACGATTCACTGAGGTCCGCCATGATCGGCTCCAGGACGCAAATCCAGTCTCCCAGGTCGATGGGAGCACTCTCCGGCTTGTACTCCACAAGCTTCGGCAAATCCGTTGTGACATTCTTCACCGTCTCGCTCGTGTCATCGCCGTGGTCCACCTTCTTCTTGGTGTCCAACATCTGCTGCTGCATGTTCTGCATGCCCTGCACGATCTTCAGCATGATGTCCAGGGACTTGTCCTTCGGGCCCGTCGGCTCGTCCTCACGTAGCTCCGAGGATTCTTCCTCAGGATCAGCAGGTTCACCTCGAGTTCCACGGCCTTCAGGGGTTCCATGTTCCTCAGGGGTGGCAAACCTGTCACTCTGATCACCTCCTCGAGTAGCCTCCACCTCCGGCGGTTTCCAGTTCTGCTGCATGTCCTGAACTTGGCTGAGACATTGCCCCACCTCCTGATGTAGCCTCCGATTATCCGCCAGGATCTGTGCCATGTAGTAGCGCATCTCCTGCATCGGATCTGGCCATTGAGCATGCCGTCCTGGTTCAGGTAGTCCCGGCTGTTGCAGCGTTCCTTGATCTTGCCATTGAGCAAGCCGTGAGCCTTCAAGATGTCCCCCAGGTCCAAGAAGTACCAACTGCGGCCCCAGTTCTTGCCGTTGCAGGCCGTGGGCCTTCAGCATCTCCCGCTGGTCCTGGTAGAGCAAGATGTTGTGCTGCCAGCGCCAGCTGCCTTTCCACCTGCATGCCCTCATTGGACCGCTGGATGTAGCCCTCAAAACCTCCATGACCTGTTGCAGCTCCCGTTGCGTGAATGAGCGGAGCTTCGGCTGTCCACTCATCCAACCTTCTCATCTGCTCCGGAGTGAACAGCTCGTTCTCTGCCGGCCCAGGCTGAATCGACGATGGCTCCCCCTGCGGCCCTCCAGGCCATTGGGTCGAAGCTGCCGCCTCAATCAACCCATCCGGCCTGGCTATCAGGGCAGGTTCCTCCACCTCCTCCACCACTGGGCCGACTCGGCCTCCGGTTCCCTTTCCGTTGTTCTCCAGGGTGGTCCTTCTCCGGGTCCTCCCTGAGTCAGCGCCATCCATGGCGCCAGTGTCACACCGCGTGACTTGGGCTCATAACCTGTGAATCTGGCTATCAGTCCGGCGCACTTTTGTCTGTGCGCTTCGAGTACAAAGCGGCTTCCGGATCCGCTCCTAATCTCAAACCTCAAGTAAGGGGCCTCATGTGGCTACCCTCAAACTGTTTTGGAAAACCTGCAAGAATAAGGTACCCATTTTTTCTGTAGTCTATTTTAGTAAGGGGAAGCCTCCCCAAAAAAGGGAAAAAGGGCACTATTGGGGGACCTAGCCTTCACTGCGGGGGAAACGCCCCTGGCGGAAACGACTCCGACCAACAGCTCCGCGCCTGGCTCGTGCACCGGCGGGCCGCACGTCGCCGGCCTGCCGTGAAGCAAATTTGGCGCCACGGCCACTTTTTGGGTGGGGAGAACTTGCTTTTGTTGTCTGGGAAACGCCTGGGAAAGCGTTGACCATGATTTTTGTTTGACCATGCTTCCTCAATTTTTGACGCGGGCCATCTTTTTGTTGACCATAATTACTTCTGGGCAAAGGCGCCAGGAAAAACAAGAGGAAGCAAGCCCAACATGTTGGGATCCCGTTTAGAAAGCCCAGCTGATGGCTGCTCCCGTTGGCCAGGTTGCATCCAACGCGTTGACTCAATCACGTCTCCCTCAGCTTCTGGTTTGGATTTCTTGCGGATTCGAAGCCTGACTTTCGTAGTGGATGACCAAACCACAAATTGGTTTGGGAAGCCGAATTGATGAAGAAACCAAGGGTGAACGGGAAACCTCACAACCAAACCACCAAACTATTCCAAACCACCAATTTGCAGGACCAACAAAAAGTGTGACCTTGCCAAGCCTCAAGAGCTAACTCAAAATCTCCCAGCCCCTCGACAGGGGGACCTGAAAATGCCCTCTGCCGGGGTGTGCCGGCTCCGTTGTTTGTCGCCTAAACCTCCGACAGGCCCGGATATTCTGGGCGTGCGAAAGACCCTGTTTGCCCTTGGTGTCCGTTTTAGGTTGGTGAAACGGACTTCCTGGAGTGCAAAAGGGAGCTTTCTCCTTGCAAACTTTCTAGAGCGGGCCCCAAACTCAGTTGTTCAGTGACCCTGGCGAAAAAAGGGAACCCTTTTTGGGGAAGACCATTGTTAGTGGGGCAGCCACAAAACAAAAGGGAAAAAGAATTGGTGCCACTGAACAACTGAGCAAATCAACGCCCTTGCAACCAGCCTGTGGAAAATCCTCAGCCTCGTGTGTCTCCACTCGCTCCCCATCCTTGAGCAGCCAGACCGAAGTTTTGGCACAAGCGCGCGATGCCGAAGTCCCCATGCATCGTTTTCTGACGGGGGAAATGCCAGCCTGCCGGTTGGAACTGGTCAGACCACAAACGTCGATATCTTGGCCTGTGCTTCAAAAATTATCCAAGGTCAAATCAACTAGGCCCTCCTGTAGAATAAGGGTACCCTTTGTCTGTAGTCTATTTTGGTAGGGGAACCCCCCCCAATAGAGGCCCCCCAATCCCAATGGGTGCCAACAGCAACTACTAGGGTCTATTAGGGGCCAATAGCCAATAGGGTTCCTGGAGCCATTTCCAGAAGTTCCCCTCGACAGCCATGGGATAAACACTCCCCCCACAACCCCCTCGCGACGCCTCCGGCGGGAAGGCGGTTTCCAGGGTGGACAGCGCCTGAGCAGGCAGCAACGCGAAACAACGCATGGAGCCGTCATATACACCATAGAGCCGTGCACGCGTATTATATATATATATACAAATTATTACATACACATATGTATATATATATACATGTAATTATAGTGCTGATGAGTATACAAACGCCCGCCACATCTATATAGTGTCTATATACGCCCAACAAGGGTTCTGTAGTTCCGCTTGAGAGTCCCACCTCGTTCAAGCCAATAAAACAGGTGTTGTTTAAAGTTATTTTCAAGTGTTGTTTTCTTCGCGTGGTAGCCCTTGCATTTGCGCAGGATGTCTCTCCGAGTTGCCGTTCTTTTGCGCCAGCTGGTTTGCAGCGACGGCCTTCATTTCAAAGCCGCCAGCATGAGTTGCCCCTTCTCAAGATGTGGAGAGTTCAAAACCAGTAACTCAATTTCCCGAGCAAAACATAAAAAGAACACGTACACGACAAGAGACCCTCATCACAGGCAGGTGAGCTCGCTATGATTCGTACTTGTTCGACCTCGCTGCATGTCAAACAGTCTGCCAGCAAAGAGGGAGGGGAAACCGTCGTTCAAAGGTTGAAGGCTAAAGATCAAATCAACTAGGTCCTCCAGTAGAGAGGTTGGAATAAGGGTACTCTTTTTCTGTAGTCTATTTTAGTCGGGGAACCCTCCCCAAAAAAAGGGGTAAAAGGGCACTACTCGGGGACCTAGTCATAGTCAAAGAGCAACCAAGGCTTGTGTCTTGCCAACGTCAACGGCCTCTGTCTCTCTGCAATCTTCGACCCCAAGACTTCCACATGGCTGAGCTCAAAAGAGCTTGGCTGTGCGCTTCTTTGAGAACATGTGTCCCTGACCGGGAAACCAAAAGAACCGGCAAAAATTGTATGTGGTCCCCATATTTTGCCACAAACTCTTCACAAAATGTGTCCCCATATGTGCCCCATATTCTTGGTTGTCCCCATGTATGCCCGGACTCCCTCACCGGAACACGCCCTCTCTCACCCCCGCCTCTCTCACCAGAGCCTTGAGCGAACCGCGAACCGACGTGGCACAGATCCGTTGGATCGAAAGCCGCGTTCTTTGAAATCAAAAAGCGCGGCTTCCTCTATCTGTTGGTTCCAGCCATCGCAGAAAGCACCAACGTTTTGAACAAACATGATTCAACCATGTGTTGTAGAAGTATGTTGTGTTTGCTTTGAAGCACACAAGGCTATGGTCACGCACGCCCTTTCTTCCTCTATGCCACCTTTGCGCCCCCAAACAAAAACAACATCCGGGACGCACTGGCTCTGAAACAAATTGCCAGATTCCTGGAAGCGACCGGCAAATAGCAAACTTCCCTCAATACCGCGGCTTCGACTTCAACGCCATGTCCAATGGCTGGTGGGGGTCCAAAATAGGTAGCGAATGGACTCAAACCTGCGGTGCCCTGGTTTTGTTTTGGCTGTCGTCACAACAGCTTGTGAGTGAGACCCTTTTCTGGTTGAACTTCCAAAACAAAACTGATGCGACAGGAAATCGACCCGGAGGACCGCTGGCATCTGACACGCCGTAATGTCGACCCCGAAATAATGATTCAGGGGTGGCCCATTGGATGGACGAAATCCATTTCACACCACCTAAGAAACCCTGGAATGATTCGATTTTCCTGAAAATACCACTAAACAATGGGTTATCCCTGGATTTCTAAGTGGTGCAGGATTTCGTCCATCCACAGTATTGGAGGGGAATCGTCTTTTGAAGTGAAACACACCCCAAGTTAATGCGCCAGCTTGGCTACCCCGGGTTGGAATTTGGGGACCAGACCCTCTTGGGTAAACCCTTTCCACTCTACCAGCTTACAGGCGGCTCGGGAGGGAGATCAGCCCCGACTAGAAGCGCCATGCGCAGTTTAGCGATACAGCTCCTTCGTGCAGAAAGCCCATGAAAAATCGGGGCTAGACCTTCCAGTTTAGCACGCAGGCGTCAATACCCTAAAAACTGATGTGCAATGTCTTGGCCTTAAAGCCTTTGTGGAAACAATCAGTACTGAGTACTGAGATCAACAATGTGGTCCAGGGCAATCTTCAGCCCATCGTGAACAAGGAGACGCCAAACATTCATGAGTGGCAGGCCAAAAACAAAAAGAAGGAAACAGGCGACCGCACCCAAAAGGCATCCTGTGCCAGAAAACGCCTTTGAGCCCAAGAACCAATTGCCTCCATTGAGCATCGAGGGATCGAACCCGCACGGGGGCGTGAAGCGAGGCCCCACATGTTGCTCCCTTCTCATACTGTAAACATATCCCTGCATATCGCATGTTCTTCAACTTGGTGGGCCTTAGGTTTGGGGTTTTGGTTGATGGGTTCTCTCAGGGACGAAACGAGTCGCGTGACACCTGGAGGATTGGCGAGACTTGTTCAAGTGATCTCTCGCAAAAACAGGACGTGTTGGGTTGTTCCATTCCGCCCATGAAGAATCTGCTACAGCACTCCAACAGGGAGCTGAACAGGGGACCCTCACGCTCCGTGATTGGACGGGGTCCACACCCCCCCCCCCCTTCCGGACCCGTCCAGGCGGCACCGGTTGTCTTGGGCCGTTCCAAACCCAACATGTTGATGAAGCGCGCTGGCGGGTTGGGGTTGTGGGGTACGTGAAACTCAATTTTAGACACGAGTGGGAGGAGTAAACTGCAAGTACTAAATTGGGTTTGCCTCAGGTGGGGGTTTAGATGGAAACCAAAAGGAAACCCGCCACCAGCCTCCCTCATTTTGAGACACACCGGCGAAATGAGTTAGCCCCTTGTGTTCTTCCATTTGCTTTTTCGGCCCCTGGGAAAAATCAGCAATGTGTCCAGTAGTGAAATCGATTCCCTTTAAAACCAGCACGGGAATATAACAAATTTCAGCAAATGGAAGTACAAATGCCCAGTTTGTTAGTAGGGGGGTGTCCATTCTGGTTTACGAATCAAAACCACTGAAATTTGAATTTTTCCACTAATGCCGGTATTTGCATTTTTGGTTTCAATTTGAAGTTTTGGAATCCCCTCGTACTACACAAAGCTTCAAATTGTGCGCTTCGATTGACTTCGACCCCCCCCGCGCCTCCGCCTCCTCCACCCGGCCCGGCCGACTCTGCAGCACCGCCGCCAGGTTCTCCGCCCGCACGGCGGCGTCCAAACCTCGAGCACAGCCGCCGTGGGAAACGGGGAAACCGCCCAATGCGTCTCACTGGCTGACCCAAAAAAAGTCCAAACTTTATATTTACCACAAGAATGGTCTTCCCAAAAGTTTAAATTTCATGAACTCAGGAAGTGAGGAGTCCAAAACGTTTTGGCTCAAACACCACCCTTTTACAGGGAATTATGGGTGGAAACCAGATACTATCTGACCTTCACTGTGTTGATTTGGTCGAACCATCCCAAAGGGGGAGCTATGTGCTTGGACATACCCATGTGGGTATCAATTCTGATTGGCGACCTAGCCAGCTACTGTCATTGCGCGATTCGTAGCCCGCCCGGAAGAGGTTCTCCAGGATCCTGTTTCCAGTTCAATTGGCTACAGAAGTAAAAAGGACGAGGACCGCCAAATTAATCAGGGGGGTTCTCCAAAAATATCATTTTTTAATCGCTTGTCCAAACCTTGTCCACCTTAAAAGGGGCGGGGGGGGGGGGCCTGTTTTGACCAGAGGTGACCATTATTCAGGGGAAAAAACGGGCACGCCGGGCTTTGCGCAAACCCCCGAGGCCAGCTTTTTCACCCGTCCGGCGCGCGGGGCAGGAAGCTGCTCTTCCAGCCTTTCTGCGGCGCCGCAGAGAGCGAAGGCGGCAGCCTCCGGTCTCCCCGCGGGTCAGTGGTCTCCCTCACATCCCCCGCGAAAAGTTTATTTTTTCAGTGGGTTAAAGTGAAACTACCACTAAACACTTAAAGGCTAAAAGGCTAAGGGGATGGCTGGGAGCCACCAAGATGTTTGATCCGTTGTTGCAAAGGGTCCATACTGCGGATGGACGAAATCCATTTCGCACCGTCCAAGAAACCTTGGAATGACGATTCCCCTGCAAATCCTTGATAAACACATGGTTTCCCAATGGTTTGCAAGTGGTGCAGCAGAGGCTGGTCCACGGAAGGTGGTCCATGAGGTCCCAGAGATAGCGGCTACGATCCGCTGTTGGGGGCCCATGAATTGGGTGGCTTTGTTGGCCGCCAAGCTTGGGGGGGCCAAGAAAGGAACAGGGTGGCTTCGGTGGTTGACGAGCTTCCATGGAAAGCGAGGCGGAAAAAAAGGGTCGTCCATGAACCAGGAATCCCAGGTCTTTTGCCCCCACACACTTTGTCTGCTCCAGCTGAGTCACAATCAAAACCCGGTACTAACTGGTCTACCCAAAACCATGTAAGGAATTAAGAAGGCTGATATCCGCAGCTATTCATGGCAAGGGGATTGTCCCTCAACCTTCATCTACCCGGGTGTTGAGCAAGTGTCTCATCTGAGAAACCCCAACTTCAACCAGTGAGACGAACGGTGGAAAACAGCATACCTTTTTCACATCTCTACTCTTGGCATGGTAGCGAAAAACTTTGTTTTTTGGCAGACCCCCAGTAAAAATGAACAGAACCAAAAGACTAAAAAACAACAAAAACATGCCAAGAACTGTGAAGTTCACATTCAGGGATGCTCCTGCTCAGCTGAACTTCACGAGCCGCACTCCGCGTCGCCGAATCGAACGACGAAAGGCGATGCCTCTGCGTCCAGGACGTCAGTCTCCGGCACACGGCCTCGAAGGATTCCTGGCAGATCTCCGCAGCGCCCCAAGCTTCGAGCACAACCCCGAAAAACAAGCCAGGAAACCGAGTGAGTCTTTTGCTCTCACACAGACTAGCATGGTTTGGCACGTAGAGCCCTGCAGAAAATCCGGGGGAAATTTGTGCACTTCCATGATCGTTGGATGTATGATAGAACTTTTATCGGTTCCAGTTCAATGCCAAGCAAAAAACACCCCGGTGTTCAACCTTAACCCCCCCTGCATTCCTTTTTCCAGGTGTTTTTTTTCCTCGCCGTGCCGAACCCGGCGGAGCCCGACGCCCCGGCTCGCTTCGCTTGGCGCGCGCGTCGCGCGTCGCGTTGCGTCCTGCGGCAGCACCACTTGGGTCGAAGCGCCGAGGTCCGAGACTTTCAGCGGCCGAAAGAGCACCTGCGCCCCGGTGGCGGAAACGCGCGGATCCGAGCGGGCGGGGGCAGGAAGGTTGGTAGGGGAAGGACTCCGAGTTTCCTGGAGGGTTTTTTGGGGGTTTTAGGTATTTAGGGTTTAGGGTTTACTTGTTAGGGTTGGAGGGGGTTGGGGTTTAGGTGGTTCAGGTTTTTCTGGGTTGCAGTCTGTCTGGGTTTGCCCATTGACACAGAGCCAGTACGAAACCCATGAGAACTAGAACCTGTATCGAATTGATACGGACCTGGTTACTGGTTTGGGGCAAGTTTTGTGGGATCTCGTGGTGGAGCTTTGCATGTTCTGTGATACACCGGGCGGGAGGGCTCCACAAAAATCGAAAAGCTACCGATTGCGCTTTCCACTTCGAGGAATCAAATCTGCTGGGCACCTTGGCACCCAAACAACCAGCGCTTCACATATCATCCCAAAAGGAAACTCAGCATTTGTTGAAAGGGAAGTACCTCTCACTCCCACCTCCCCCATCCCGATGAGAACCCGCATCCCAAACTTGTTGCCAGCAGCTTCACATGGCTGTGTGGCTCAAAAAAAAGAAGAAGTACCAAAACGGAACCCTGGTCAGTGGAAACATGGACCAAAACCTGCGTAACCCCTCCTGTTTAATTTTGAGCCACACCCAAATAGAACTACCTCTGACCCCCCGATGGAAGAAATCCATGGGAAATCCCCTCGCCTTGGCGGCCTTCTGGATCTGGTCGCCTCCGAAGCACATGCCCAAACCTCTAGGAGCTGATTTGTCAGCCGTCGTTCTTTTCAAAAACCGGATCCATGTCCCCAGAGTTTTTGGTGGTTCTCCAGAAAGATTCGGATCCCGGGAAAGAATGGAAATGGAAGTTACCCCATTCAAAAACCCTCCTGCTTTTCTGACCGCACCTCTGATAATCACCCTCTAAAATGAAAGACTGGTACTCGGGACCACCTGGTAGAAAAGTATCCTGAATTTTTGTCAGCTGTCAGACACCTGTACCAATTTACCTCCAAAAAAAGCGGCTCAAGGGGAAGCCACCGGGACAAGTCCTCCAACAACTGCTTCTAAAGAAAGCGGCTCCAAGCGAACGGGAGTTGGAAAAACAACTACTTGGGACCAGTTCCGAAACCCACCTTCGTTGCCACGAATGCAAAACACGTCGGGCGCCCGGCCCATCTGCAGGATCAGCTCCGGCAGCAGCAAACGAAGCTCCAGAGCCTCCCCGAAACCCAAGGCGAGCGAGCGGCGTTCGCGCGCCAACGTGTCGAGCGGGCCCCAAAAAAACGGCCATTTGGGCTTCGATACATGTATAACGGGTCCCAAAAAGGGGTTTTAGTTTTGGGGGCATGTTGGTTTACCAGAGCTCAACAGAACTCCAGAGTGCAACCACGAGCAAAGCCCCAGGAAATGGAAGAAGGGTTCCGAGAGCCGAACGCGGAGATCGGAAGCGTTCGAAGGCGCACTGAAAGAAAGGGCCAAAGATGCCAAACCCTTGGGGCGTTTGGCACGGCCCCTAAACCTTCCAACAAGAACCAGGGGTTCAGAAATATGAAACAATCGCAAAAATGTACTTTGCTTTGCAGGGTTGCCAGTTCCAAAGTTCCGCACCCGGCCTCTCATCCTGTTGCAAGCGCCAGTACTTGAGGGAGGTCGAAGTGCAACCCCAAAGTGGCGGTTTGCTGGCCCTTTGACAAAAAAACCACAACTCCGACCATATAACACGGAACCTGGAAGGCCATGCTTCTGGCGAGTTCCACGTTGAGTGCGAGGGCGAGGAGCTGCAAAACCAGAACACACATGATGGTGAACATCACACTTTCTGTAATACTAAAGGCCATTCCCAAGACAAATCACTTCACGGAACGTGGCCCCAAAGCCTATTTTGGTGTGTTTTTCTTCTGAGGGACCCTTGCATGAACATTGTTTTGGTAGGTTCATGTCCACCAACCATTCTTGAGGGCCATATTCCATGCACCTGCTGGAGGCAAGCCTCCGCCACTTCATCCCCCTTCGGCTGCTCGCTGCACCTGAGCTGAGAGAACAACTGAGCCATCTGCAAATCGACGGAAGGAACCCAAGGGGAAGGAAGATCTCTCCAAAATGAAGGTGTTGATGGACTCTATGACTGTAGCGTTCCTGTATTCCCCTTACACTCCACCTGCCCACAAAGACACGTCGGTTGCTGGATCAGTGATGTTGAAACTGGCTGAGGGAACTCAGAATCTGGCGACTGAAAGGGGATATCCGGATTCATTCATGGTTGCGACTCTCCCCTACTATCATCCATCCAGTGTTTATACAATTGCCCCGAAACCGAGTGTTGCATAGCTCAACCATTCGCCCTTTTTCTGGTTGTTCTTGCATGCTCCATTGGGAGTGACAAGGAGCTCCAACATTCGAGTCTGGAGGAGTTAAGTAGATGGTGATTCAGAAGTCAACGGTCAAGGCAAGATTGATTTGTCCAAAGCAGGAAACAAGACTTGTGTGGGGGTTCCCACTCAGGAGCCAATTTCCTCCCTACTGTTTTCACTACCTCCAACACAGAAACAGCTCTCCCAACTACTCATGCGTACTGCCCAGTTTCGTTTGACACCCTTGAAGTCACCTCTTACTGGCACGTAAGGGAAAATCCCACCCAAGAGTAAATATGTTCCCTCAAACCCGCGAGACTCTTGAACTCTATGAGCGGCTGGGCACAGCTTGGAATCACAACACATTCGGCTTAGCCGGATCAACAACCCCACAGCCAAGAAAGCCCAGGAAGACGTGATCGTCACCAGGCTAAACAGAATGCGGCTTAGCAGGGACTTTCTCAGTCAAAGACTTGCCAAGAGCAGTGAACGATTGCGACCTTGGCCTTGGCCGTCAGTTCGTCGACAATGGGCAATGCTGCCGGTGACATTTAACACCATCTGCAAAAGCGCAACTCCCAAAAAAGGATTTTCACGACGCAGTCACTGGATGTTCACGGATTTTTAGGGTCTAGGGTCCCTACCGTTTGGGCTGCCCAACTGAGCGAGCTACAAAATTAGGGAACCCGATGAAAGAGCCTTTCAAACAGGGTCTGAGCAAAAAGCAACAAAACGGGAAACCACCATTCTCTGGCCAATCAAGGCACGGGTGGCTCGGCAGCAGCACGAAGCGCGACTGCCCCTGGCATAGACATGGGGGACAAGTAATGGTCCCCCGTTTTTGGTGGAAACTTCAGCGAGTGCTCCTAATTCCCCTGTCAAGACGATAGACTGCGGAAGGCTCAGCCGACCACATGTGAGCCCCCTGAGGCCAAGTTTCGAACGCTTCCTCAGGTGTGAACCACCAATAGCATTGTCGTTTGCTCGTATGCGTAATTCCTCCCTGTAACAAAACGGAATCCAACAAGCATGCCCTGCCTTCATACATAGCCCATTAACCATTGGCTCAATACATGATTCAAATTCAGCCTTCCACAAGCAGCAACAGGAGCCAGGGTCAGAATACGCTGTATCTGTCTTGGATAGGAAAATTAGAGTGGCCCTGCTTTGTGTGCAGAATTTTAACATTCCCCCATGCCTCTCCCAGAATGACCAGGTATCCCATTCAAATTGTCTAAAAAGGGGGTTCTCATATTGAGAAGTATCCACATTTCATGACGGCTTCTGAGAATGACAGTGGATTGCTTGGGGAACGTTTTGAATATGCTGTGGTGGTTGGCAAAGCGCTCAAGAAATGTGCATGTCCGCCTGTGATAGTCAACTGACCGGGGGGATTTTGTGCGTAAATCTTAGGCAAGCCGGTAGGCTCAAATGCTTGACGTAAACAGGTTCGAGAAGCTGCAAAGGGCACGTGTGATATGGTAAAAACAAACGCCATTACTTGGGGTTGGTAGGGATTGTCATCAACCTCTTGATAGAGGTTTTAGGCAACCCATGCAAAGGTTGCCATTGAGGAAATAACGATGACCCGCATAGGGAGCTTGGACCATGGCACACGCGCACACACACACACACACACACACACACACACACACACACACACACACACACGCATCAGGTCACAACCTGATGTTTGCCTGGAGGCTCAAATCGAACAACCTGGTTCAATCGGTGCACCCAAGAAAAAAAAGAAACCACACACATCCTCTCATCAATCAGCAGAATCAGCTCCCTCAAATGCAGGGCTAGCTGAATGACCCCCGAATTCCAAGCAACCTCTCAGCCCCAGCCCGCAAACTCCTGAACCCCTCAAACCCCCCAAACCCCTCCCACCTCCCACCCACCCCAACCCCCCACCCCACGCCAACCCCCCACCCCACCCCAACCCCCCACCCCACCTCAACCCCCCACCCCACCCCAACCCCCAACCCCACCCGCCTCACTGGCCCGCAAGCTTAGCAGGTGCGCCAGCGCTGCGGCCTCCTGCGGAATGCACCTAGCTCCTTCCGAAACGCGGAACCCCACCAGTCAGCTCCCTGAAAATTGCGTTCAGACTCCCGTACTGGTACAAATTGTTTCGTTTCCTTGGGTCTGGGCACACCCTCTTGGGGTTGCTTTTGAAGGGAAGCCCACAGGGACATCATCCATCTCATGCACGGTTAGAACCAGCTGCAAACACGGGGTGCCTGAAGATGACACATTTTTGAAAGTGCCCGAAGCTTCCCTCACCCCCTTCGTACGACTCCTGCCACTCACTGAGGTTCGGGGAACGTTGATCTCCGCTGGGTCGGTGGAACGGGCCAAATATGATGTTTGGTGAGCAAAAAATGGCACGCCAATGCCGGATATACTGGAAGTGCTTGCTCTTCAAAACCCCTAGTGTCGACAGCTTGCTGTTCTTGGTCCCAACCACCCCGTTGCTTGGAGGCAACATATTGCAAAACATGGTTTTGATAAGCGTTTGGACAAGGCAGGCCGAGAGACTGTTAGCGCGGGACTCGCTCATTTGGACCAATCTAGTTTTGCTCATGCGTTGGGGGATCCTTCATAGGGCAAAGCCACGCAAAGACGTTCCCATACTATGCACCAATCAAAGCGGCCTATTGAAAGGTTGGAATGTGGACGCCTATCACCCCTTTTTTCTACGCTTGAACCCTGGCACCCCTTCGCTCTCTGTATCCCAAAGCAGGGTTGCGCAAGAAAGCACGCAAAGCGTCAACGTGAAAACATGGAAGAAGACCCTGATCAGGTGGCTGGTCATTGCAAGCCCGAAGTAAATTTGGGATCCCCTCACCTTGTGTGAGCCACGCCCGGGAAATGCAAAAACCACAAAACCACGTCCAACTGGCAGACGGGCGCAAGCAGGGTTGGGGAAAATCACCCTTGCTCTGATACCAAAGTGGAATTCCCCTCCCATACTTGATCATTTGCGGGATGCAGCGAGGGTGCAACAGAAAGTGGCACATTCCAAGATTCCAACAACCTATAAATAGCATAACATGCTACTCGTATAAAATTGCATGTCAACATATATCTATATATATATATGTATGTGTGTGTGTGTGTTATAAATAACATGTAGTAAAACCATGTTCTTGTTGTTTTTTACCACCCAGCAACCCCTTGGCCATTTGTTGAGGCCGTCCCTTCGGAACTTGGCACTTGTAAACGCTGCAGCCAGAGGATCATCCAATTTGCCTCCTTGGAAACCTACGCTCTCATGGCGGCAAACCGATTTAGTTCCCATGAGGGTGTGTTCAAGATGACCACCTGGCAACCATGCTCAGTGCATCATAATTTCACCCTCCTATTGGCTTCCCGAAAAGTTGCTCCAAAATCATGGCACCAGGGTAGATTGGTACTTGGTAAGGCCAAACTAAAACCCAACCAATGTGTACAAGCGTGGCTTGACATGTGAGCGTGCTTTTTCTTGAGAGGCAACCTCGTTTGGGTTGGTTTTAAAGTGAAGCCGAAGGTAAAACCGAAAAATGTTGGGGTTCCCTCACTTAGAGACAAAGCTGTCTTTTTTGAAGGAGAACCGAAGCCATTTTGTGGGGTCAAACCTTAAAAAGACAAGCCAAGATTTCGCCCAAAGGGCTTTGGGTTCCGAGCCTCAGTGTAGGGCGCCAAGGGGTCAAACGTCCCGCCCATCGTGGCGCCTCGGAGAAAAAAAAAATGAGGGTGGCCCTTTTGGGCTCATCTCAAAAGAAAAGCAAGAGGGAAACCACACCGCTTTTCGGGGCTCCGCTATTTTGAAACACACACACACACACAGAAATTAGCTGAAAGGTGTTTTTTCCTTTGCGGCGCAGCAAACTAAACCAGAAACAATCTTGAGAAACTGGACAACATACCAAGCAATGTTGCGATTCCTGAAAAAGTATTCGAAGAAGGAGAACAAAGTGGCAACCCCTGTGGAAGACCAATTTGAAAGTCACCCTGAGATATCCCCAGTCTTGCAAAAGGTCCCGATTGTTGACAACAATTGTATCCCGAGACTTGGTCGACTCTTAGCTCGCAGAAGCCGAGTTTTCAGCGTTCAGTTCTGCCAATCCGGATCCAAACTCCTGAGTTGACAAACAGTCCTTCTGTAACTTGCGGCTGGCTATCATGACCAGTGAAAAGCTGGTTTATTCATGGCGAATGTTTCATGGAGTGCGCCAAATGGAGGAGGGGGTCCTTGTTGGACTTCCTTCTGGATAGTCTTTACAGCCAAAAGTAAACCACACAGTAGACTGTAGGGTACCTGTTGCCAAGGACTATATGGTTTGTCTGATCGGGACACTCCAAAAGAATGGGATGGTTTTCGATCGGTTCCAAGGAAAAGCGGCTTTACCCTGACAACCCCGAAAGGATATTTCGTACAGATCCTGTGCCGCGGGGCGGTGCTTGTAGAGCAGGACCCCGGCGTTCTTGCAGACATGGCCCCAGCCGCAGAGATTCGGGCGCCTGCGAAAAGTGTTGGAAGCCCTGTTCGCCTGGGTCCTGGCTGAGACATCCGAATTGTCCTCAGGGTTCAGAGCGAAACCACCCAAAGTAGTTTCCCCTTTTCATTTCATTCTATCTTGTTTAACAACAAGACTGGCTTGAATGGACCTCTTGTTTAAGTTAAAACAAAAATGATAATTTATTTATTATTATTATTGCAAAAAAAGAAATGAATGGACCCAAGGTTTGGAACGTCCCTCGTCCGAGCGTTCCTCTGCGGGCCTCTTGCGTAAGCCGGAAAGGACGAGGAGTAGGATTCCCCGTTTGGGGAAACGTATTCTTGAACTGACAAATCATCCTGGATGTGTATAACATGAATAACATGAGTCATGAGGGTAGCACCTAATTCTGCCACTTAGGATAACACGAAGTGGCAAGAAGGGATGTCAGCAGCGAACTGCTCCAGAAAACACAGAAAGGGCTCCCGCTGTTTCCCACCTTCAAAGTGACCATTTTGAGGGGTTCTGAAAATTGCTTTGGGGGAGGGTGTCACCTGAACGACCCCACTTCTCCAAGAGCCCCCTCCGCGCGAAGCTCCGCGCGCCGGCCTCCGCGCGGCGCCCGCATCGCCGGCGCCCGCGCCGGCGCTGGAATCGCCCTCGCCCACAACGGCGCCGCAGAGGCACCAGAGCAGGCCCCGAGCCGTGGCCACGCCAGGGCTGAGGTCGCCTTCCATCTGTGACAAGTTGGAGCTGAAATTCGGGGGGGAAGCACCACCTACCCTCAGAAAAAGGAGGCGTGGCTCTTTATAGTTTCCTGAAACTTGCTTGGTGTACCTCCAGAAATCCCGTAGCACGTTTGGGGTATTTCATTCATTTCTCCAACAAGGTGTCTAAGTGAAGCACCAACCGCAAGTTGCTTCCTCCAACAACAAGGTCCTTTTGCCAATTTGAGGTGTCCTTTCGCCCTCCCTTCCTGAGCAAGTGATCGCGGGGTTCAAAGGTTATAGAGTTCTAGAGCAACTACCACCGCAAATCCACCAAAGGGGTCATGTGTTGCACCGGGGCTTTGCCGAAGCGACTTTTTGTTTTTTCCCCCCTGGCTGCTTACAATAAAACCAAAGGACACCCTGCAAGCACTTGGAGGCGACGGCCCCAAAAAATTGAGAACGACCAAGGAAGTTCAGAGAAAAGGCTCAAACCTCGAAGCATTGCAGTTGCACGTGCACGAATCGGTTTTGGCGCGATGTATGCCGTTTTTCCCCGTCCCGTTTTCCGGCGGGAGCTGCCTCGGGCCACGAGGAAGGTCTGTGCGGATACGAAGAGGCGCCCCGGCTCAGCTCGCAGGTGGCCTGAGGATGGCTTTAGACGCAAAGCCACGTCGACGTCGGCCGGGGGGGGGGTCCTCTTCTGTTTCCCATGCTAATGTGTGGGTTCTGCTGGGGCAATCAAAATCTCCAAGCCCTGATTGGTTATGCCTCTTCTGTTTGCGACTAGTTTGGCATAACTCGAGCTTGTCCCAATGAATGTTGCAAAAGCCCGGCCCGTTCTCCTACTTGCGGGAGCAGCAGCCTTTGAAAGGGGGTTCTTGGAAGCTCTGAGAACCTTTCTATGTCTCCTGAACAGAAAAGCAACTGGGGGGCAAACGTGAGGCCTTCAATCAACTTGAGCCCTATTTTTTCGTCATCCGTTGGTGGATGAACAAGGGGTGCTTGTCTCCTCGTGGAAATTGAGGCGTTGGCCCATGTTTCCAGGGGAATCTCCCCTTTGAAGTAACCAAGCAATTGCTAGACGAATTTGCAAATTGACGGGACGAGGCTCGGAGGAGGGCCTTTTTGCTTTGGGTCAAGTCGACAAATCCGACGTCAACCAGGTGCGGATTGTTTGATGCCGTTGATTCCCCTTGGATGTGAACCAAAAACCAAACCTTGACCGCTCCCTTGCTCCCTACTTTCAACTCTAGATTGGCTTGAAAAGAAGCTGGGCCCAACAAAGTGCCAATTGACAGTTCTATTGAATTGATGTTCTCGCTTTTGCCCCCAATTCTACGATGCCGTGAGTCCACCCGAATGTGTAAAAGAGAGCAACGTGAAATTCAGAGGATGCGGCATCCGAAAGTCTCGCCTGGACCAATCAGTGGCCTGGGTGATTTGAACCTTTCAACCCCAGCCACCAGCAGGTTACTTTTGGAGGTCCCGACTGGAATGAAAAAGCAAGCAGGGCCTCTACCTCAGCTGTTGCCCAACCCAACATGATAGTAGTTGACTCTGGTCCATGTTTAGTGAACTTTCAAATGCGAACTATGTTCCACAGAGATCCCCAGATTGGGGAGATGCCAGAATCCCCTTTCTAGTTGGATAGTCAGCCCGCATCTTCCCCAAAAAGCCCAACAAAAAATATGACGAAGTCTATAATTCTTTGTCTCCCTGGCTCAATCAGTTCAACCAGCCTGTTACTCACCAAGCAAAACAGATCTTCAGGGTGGGATCCATTGAAGAAACCCTGGGAGCCAAGCGAATCCCTGAAAACACCTTCCTCTCAAACAAAGGCGCGCTTTCCCCTTCGGAACCGAGAGAAAAAAGGTCCTGGCTATGCGGCCAAGCCCAGTACTTGATCTTCAAGGGGACCCCCCCCCAAAACAAAAAGAAGAAAAAAGCAAGGGGGTGGTGTTTGGGGCCCAAAAAACAAGGGGGTGGCTTTTGGGGCCCCCAAAAAAAGCAAAACAAGACGGTCATTTTTGCCCCTCCCACAAAAAAAAAAAGCCACGAAAAGCCCAACACCGCCCACTTGGCTGGGCCATATTTCCGCAGATGTTCGGAGTTTCGGCCCGCCTTGGCCCAGCGGCGTACACTCCTCGCACGCCACCACCTGAGGTTCCCAGGCCGTAACGTAGCACTGGCTGTTGGGGTGTGGTTTCGTATATGGCTGTGGGGTCAAAAATGGGGTAACCCCAAAGTGGAAGCCTGGTAAATGGAACCAAGGACTAAAACCTGCGGTCCCCTGGTGGTTTAATTTTGACACATACCCATATCCCAAAACCACTTGGCACTACCAGAGGATCCGTTCCGGGTGAGGTGAAGGACGTTCGTTCCATGTCCTAAACTGCCCCACCCCTTCCGAAACGACGAGAAAAGCAAGAGCCTTTTTCAGCCTTCGGCGCAATGTGACAGCCCTTTCTCTGAAGGTTCTAGCAAAAAGGCTGCTCATGGGGGTCATTTTGAGGCCTCAGTGCGAAGCTTGTTGAAAGATTCGCATTGACAGCGGTCCCTAGAGGTCCCCTTCAATCATCACCCTTCCAAAGGGAAACTCACCTGGGCCACAAGGATGATCTTACCCATACAACAGGGAAAACCTGGGCACAAAAGATGATCTCACCCACAAAAAAGGGAAACCTAGGGAACCCTGAAATTAACCTGCCCCCCCCCCCAAAAAAAAGAAAAACAACACACACACACACACACACACACACACACACACACACACAACGCCTTGACCTCGTTTTATTGGTCCGCGCCTCCGCACAGGCCTGCCAGAGGTCCGTGGGCAAATGCAGCGCCTGCAGCGGGCCCTGGAGCATCGAAAGGCGCAAAGGGCGAGCAGCTGGCACCTTCTTTTAGAAACCAAACCAGGCGGTCAATTCGGAGAAACACCTACCAAGGCACACAGCCATATCCCATTGATGCGTTGGTCTCCTCCAAGGCTTGTGACTCCCATTTGCAGCCATTTCCAGTCGATTCCCTTTAACCGCCCTTCGAAGCTATGAGAGGTTCACCCGAGGCAAACACCCATATTGGGTTGTTGAAGAGAAGCTGGAATCTCCTTTGCCGGACTTTGCGCAAAACACCTTCTTGGGAAAACGGGGGACAAAAGAAAAAAAACAATGGGAACCATGAGCACACAAATACGTGTGACGCGCAAAGAGTGAAACAAAACTAAAGCGGCAAACAACAAAGCTGCAAACTTGCACCCCACCCCACCCCACCCACCCCACCCCACCCACACCCACACCCACACCCACACCCACACCCACACCCACACCCACACCCACACCCACACCCACACCCACACCCACACCCACACCCACACCCACACCCACACCCACACCCACACCCACACCCACACCCACACCCACACCCACACCCACACCCACCCCCACCCACACCCACACCCACACCCACACCCACACCCACACCCACACCCACACCCACACCCACACCCACCCACCCGACTGCCGCCCTTTTGCGACCGAAACACATGCGTTGCCCACCTCCAATCCGCTGCGCTCCCGCAGCAAAGGCTTTGCGCACTGCCGACACAGCAGCTCTGCCTGGGGTTCAGGCAGGTCCAGGGTTGATCATTCCGTAGCAAAAGGAAACCACCTGCTTGGAGGGTTCAACTATTTTGAGACGAAGCCATTTGAGCCACATGCAACGAAGCGCCAGCATCGAAACGCAAATCATCGATGGGAGCCATGGCGCTTCTTTCGCAGGCGCCAGATCGAAACTAGGACAACCTCAGAATCATCCAAGTAATGTTTTATGTTTCACCAACCGAGAAAAGGATACGAGAGGGTGCCCCATGCAAAAAGAACCTTCATCTGGGTGGGGTCGCAATCCACCCCCTTGTTCTTTGCCCAGAGTCAGCAACTTGGTCCGGTTGATTCACCGGGCATTGGCCCGCAACTACGCTCTCATGTCAAATATACATCATGTTGTTTGCTTCACTCTGAAAATTTAGTGCCTGGTAACACGTTATCTGTGGCCTAACTCTAGACCACTTGCAAGGCGGGAACAAGGTGAAATCCAGCTCTTCCGCTTGGGGTGAAACCCTATTGAAATACCAAACGGCACCAACCGTCCAAAAGCGGAGGATCAGATACTGCCACAATTGTTGCACACACATACACACAGATCTGCGTTCCTTGTGTCCCCTGCAACCATTACCCCTCCATAACACCCCGTCCAAAATGAACATGGCGATCCTTAACCTACCCCATAAGGGACAATCAGGACCCCCTGAATAGGGAATCCCCGTTCGTCGATTTCCTTGCTTCCTTTGTTTCCAAGCCGCACAGGCCGTGCTTTACCCTCACCCCATAGCTGAGTATCAAAAATGGGGGGGGGAGGTCAAGCTGAACAAACACTTTTGCTTGGCATCCTTTGGAACAAATGGGGCCACAAGCACTCGGAGAAGCGATGACACTTCAATTGATGCGACATAGTGCAACCTGCATCAGCTTGCGTTATGTTGCATTGTCGTTGACACCATTTGTTTGATCATGTTAAGCCACCCCTGACAAACACTCGGAGAAGCCCTTCGCGGCCTCGTGCTCTGCGAGGTCCTTGCCTGGCCGTGCGCTTGGCAGAAGATCACATTCCCCGCGGCAAGCAACCAGACCCTGGCCCTTTTACAAGGAAGGCCAAAAGGGGGGTGCTCAAAAAAGGACCAGGGGGTTGCTCAAAAAAAGCTGCTCAAAAATGAGGTTGCTACAAAAAAGTTGGTCAAGAAGGAGGCTACTGCAAAAAAGTTGCTCAAATGTGTTTATGCAAGGGGTGGCGCTACCCTACCTTGCACCAACTTCCCCAAAATACAAATTCGCCGGCTGCCAAAAGAAGCCTGACAAAGATTGACCAACAAGTTCAAGGCTGGCAGCACAGGCAGGGGTTTCTCAAAATGGTGGACCGCCTTTTGAACCCATTGTGGGTGTCCATCTTGAGAAGCATACCATTCCTTCTGCCTACTTGATTCCTCGGCTTTTGCCAATTCTGCACTTGGCGGTCAATCACCTCCCGTTGTTTTGGTTGGGTGCTAAATAGGTCTGGACAAATCTCAAATACCGCGCCCCTTGTTGGTTTCCCTTTGGATAAAATCAAAAACATACCGGCGATGTCCCAAACAAGCGAACCCCGCGCCCTTTCGCTTTCGTCCAGGACTACTGCTTTGGGTTTCGCCCTACGTCTCATACATTTATCCCAAGTCGATGTCTTCTCAACTGTCTGGGGGGTCAGGACTCCTGGTGTCCTTTGGGCTTCGCCCAAGTCGATGTCTCATAGTCCATAGCACTTTGGGGTCCCATATTCATTACCCTACTCCACAGGAGAACTGTCTTGTCCCACGCATGGCGGACTCCTGTGCCTAAGTCGATGTCCCATGGTCAGGAGAACTTTCTGGGGGAATCCCATATCTAGCAGCACAGGGGAATCCCCCAACCATTGCCCCTCACGATATTCCGCAGGAGAACTGTCAGCCGTCCCGAACCCGGACCCGCCTTGCGCCAAGCTCTCCCAGCGCGCCAGGAACTGCTCGGTGACCCGCAGCTGCACCGCCACGTGGTCCGCGAAGCGCCGCAGAGAGGCCTCCAAGGCGCCCGCGGCTCACATGTCCCAGGGTCTTGGAGCTATACAAATCCAATCAGTGTTCTGTTAAAAATCAAAAAACACACACACATCATATACTGCTCAAAAGAAGGAGGGAACACCGCAAAGAAAACAAAAGCATGCATCCAAATGTTAAGGAGAGGGGGTTCCGTTTGGTGCTTCCTGACAAAAGCAAAGCCTATGGCCATCAGCTTTGCCATGGAAGCTACCAGAGAAATCGCCCCGTTATTGGGAGGGTACCAAGGAGTTTCCCACCCCTCTCCAAAGCCACAAGGAAAGCAACAAGAAATTATGCTGGGGGCATTGCTGTGGTGACTGGGATTTACTGGGAATGTTGACCCAGTTGATAACCCTCCAAGTGATTCTACTTGCTTGGCTCCCCCCAAAAGACACATCTAATTGTGCTTAGGCTGCTTAGGGGCTGCACTACGTCATGGCCACTCCTTCAACTGACCCTGGACCAGGCGTTTCTACTGTTGTTGTTTCTTCTAAAAAAAAAAAAACAGTGCTGTCCCCAATAACCCGAGAGAGCGCACACGTGTGCACTTGGGTCATAGTCCGCGAAGCGGCAAGCGAACCCGCAACTCAACGGCCCCGACAACGCCTTGGCTTCAGTTCCATGGGTGGATGCCCGGCATCCACGGCTTTTTAATAGGGGCGGAAACCCCCCCCCCCTTCCATGCAAACCCGCGCAAAGCCGCCCTGAGCATTGACTCTCGGACAGCTTGACCGATGTAGCCCGTAACAACATGACTCGCACGAACAGCATGCTGATCTTGGTTGACGTTGGAAGGGGAGCAAACAAATAAAATATAGCAGTTCAGTGGGGATTCCCCACTAAGCCACAATAAGCAGAAATGTAAAATGGTTCCCAACAACAACCATGCAGATGTGGGGGAAACTAAGCTGAAGGCCCAAGTTATCAAGGTAAGAGTCCTTAGTTCTTTCTGCGCAAATCCCGCTGTTCTTTCTGCGCTGCCCCCGAAGCTCATCAGGCTGCAAGTTCTGTTCAGCCGGTATCTGAAAGCTTCAAACCTTCTTTGGACTCTCTACAGCCTTGGTCCAGAGCCAAACCGGCTTGCGCATCTGGCACCCGGCACGTTGCTTGTATTGAACAGGCGCTGGAGTTTGCTGTTGCGTTTGGCCTTGCAATAAGCCTTCTGTATTCGAATGAAAACAACTGTTTACTCAGATTTGTCCAAGGAATATCAAACCTGCCAAACGGCACGGGGAAAAAGAAATGTTTGGGGTTTTGTGTGTTTGCTTCCCCCAAAGAGGAACCGTTGCGAAGCTCGTCTGTTAGTAGGTTGATGGCCATCCCGGACAACGCCACGTAAAAGGTTCAATTTGCTGACCACGGCGTAAACGAACCCTCCCACCCCTTGACGTGGAATTTTCAGGAGGGTCCCTGCAAAAGGAAGATGGTCCAAACCAGAGCCCCCCCCAGGTCCCCGGGTTTCCGGCCTCCACCACACCTTCCCCAAGGCTGAGCTGCCTTGCGCCGATGGAGTCACTCAGCAAGCAACCCTCCCCCTTGGACCGATTGAGTAACTCCCCAGATAGCCACACGGAAAGCAGACACCCAGCAACCCCCCATTGTCCAAAACGCCCGAGTCATTTATCCGATAGGTCCCTTTGTGGTGGGATTCCGTTCTTGCGGGCGAACCTTCAAGAACTGGCGAGTTGTCTCTCGAGAGGCCGGAATGCAAGTTCTGACTGGTCGGGAATTGGGGGAGTCCCCAGCAGAGCGTGGCATAATGAATGTTACTGAGAAAATATATCCGCATCCCCCCTCCCAGATCCCTGCTAGTTGGTGGTTCTGACTCAACTAAGGACCTCTATGAGGCGCCCATTCGTCTAATTTTCCAACCGCCCTTGTGAGCTCCACATATCATGGGCGTTGCGCCCAGATGCAACCGGAGCAAGCATGAGTCTCAGCCCAAATGTCCCAAACAAACCGAGTCACCACATGTGGACAATCACCCGGAATCCATGATACCCGCATGAGTTATTCCCAAATCACAGAAGGCGGGAACCCAGAAAACAACTCTTTTTCCACAACCATGTGTCACCATGCCCGACCAAGTAGCTGGATGTCAGACCCTTCCTCTTGCAGCGTCAGCCTTGGATTTTGAGACCAACCAGTGCAACCCTGACACGGTGCAGTGGGCAATAAAATCTGCAGAAGAAAATAATGCCTCCTCTCGCACATTGGTCCCAGCTGCAAGAGGCCAATGGCAACGCTTGCAGTAGCGAGTTTAGAAACCAGCTCCAGCCTGCATCGCGTGACGATTGTGTCAAACCCTAGAACTAGTTGATAGAACCTATTTGAGGGTTGTTCTACCTGTTTTCGCTTGCATATGAGTCGGCACTAAGCACACCTACGTCGCCTGCGCTCGCGGGGTACAAGTCCTAAGGGCTGGTCGGGAGTGGGCAGCACTGTGCCGAGTCAGACTGTGTGACTGTCTGTGTGTGTGTGACATAGCAAAGGAGCCTTCTGCCTATTGTTTGTCATGCAGGAAGGGATTTATTAAATCAAAGGTTTCATTGCAAAGCAGCCAGGAAACGTACCTGCTCATGTCGCTCCTGGTTCCTTGCACGGGCAGCTAGAGGACTCATCCAACAGGGCCCTCCCTTTCGTTTTGCCCAATGGGAAATCCTTGCCACCACTAAAGGCAGCTTGGCAGCAAAGGGGAATCACAGGATCTTCTCCCGAAATGCCACAAGTCATATGTGTGTGTGTGTGTGTGTGTGTGTGTGTCAGCGCCTGTCATAAGCGGGACGGGACTCACGGCTCCATAACCTTCCGCGCGTGTTTTCCCGCGAGCTGTGGAGAGCGTGTGCTTCTTGCCTGTCGCATGTGCGATAAAGGCGCCGCTCGAAGCTTCCGCGAGTGGAAGCCCACGCAAACTGCAAGGAAACAAGAGAACGTCAGTTCCAGCATGGGTTTCAAAACGATCTTTCATTTAGGGGCGCCCAAAACAGGGAAACAGAACGCCGCATTCCGTGCCCAAAACGCTGCTTCGCCCCAAACGGAGCAACGCAATGAGCAATGCTGGGGTGACAGGGATCCTTTCAGGGATTGGATACCCATTAATATGGAAGCGCAGAGTTTCCAAAGGACAAAGGTTTCCTCCATTTGCTTAAGTCCCCTGAAAAAAATGAAAAAAATATTGCCAGTAGTGATCGATTCCCGTTAAAACAAACAGGGGAATGTAAAAAATATTCTTAACCAAATGGAAGGTTACTTCGATGGGTCGCCACGTTCTTAAGTTCAGCATGCCAAATTCGGCTTGGGAGGTCACCCGAGCCAGGGAAGCCATGCAAGGCGTGTGGCTACATGGGCCCTGCTCGCCAATCCTGTTTTGTTCGGCTCGGCTATGGCCTCAACTTAGATCAATGTGTGAAAGAGACAGGCTAAAAAGAAGAAAAAAAACAAAACAAAAACGGTTGTGTGTGTGTGTGTGCGCCAACAAATCATCACTCACAATCAGGCAGCCGTCCAGAAATTCGGATGGCCTCGCAAAAAAAAAAAAAAAAAAAACGCAAGTTTCTCTTGCTGTGCTTCTGAAAGCCCGCAGGGGGTCGGTGTTTCTAGTCTGTGCTTCATGTGCCTGGAGTGGTGTCATGCTCCAGGCTGATTCATCTGGGTCAACGTGAGTAGGAAGGAGCCTCCAAAGGGGTCTGTCGCATGAGGAAAACTGGGGGAAGTCAAAAGGAATACTACTTCCAACATCAACGATAAGAGCCGATGAGACGTGGCGTGCTGCTGCCTGTAACGCTTCGGACATCATGTTGTCCTCGTTCAGGGACGGGTTGTGAAAAAGTTCGAATCAGCTCCCCGCGACCACTGGATCAATAGACATGTCTTTCATGTTACATGGCCCTCCCTAAAATCCCCATTTGCGAAGATCCCATTCAGGTGTGCGCAACGTTTTTCAAGGCACAATCCCCCTCCTCGACAACTTTGGTACGTTCACACCAAAGCACCTGCAGCCGACTATATGGGGAGTTCGAACCCCTTTTGGCTTCCTTTAAGGGAAATATTGAGCACCCAGTCTGCCTCATTGCCCCGCACCCTCTCTCCTTTTTCGCTGCTCCCTCTTGCACACTCAGCAGATTGACACGGAACACCAAAAAAAAAGAGGGACCCCAAACGAAGGTTCCTCTCCAAATGAGTATGTGCCAACATAAGGGGGGCGCCTAAAACAAAAATGTGGTTGTCCGGTGGGTTCCCTGCAAACCAAGGTGGAGAAACGGATCATTTTTCCGGGGGTGCCATGTCAATCTGCCGACTCGGCTCGCTCTTTCATTTCCTTTTTCTCGACTCAGGGCACGCAGCTCGCGTTGCCTCAAATGGCGCGGCCATGGGCGTGTGCAGTGTTTGGAGGGGGGGGATTCGAAAGGAAAGTCTCATGTCACTACCATTGGGGAGACCCACTTTAGCCGTTGATCTAAAATCCCATCCGTTCGAGGATCCAAGAGAGGCAATTCTGAGAGTGCAATCAATCAGAATTCATACTTCGCCTACCTGAAATACGGCTCGTCATGGGCTTTGGTCGCAAACCAAGACCTTTCTTTCGCGACGTCGCTATTTCAACAGAAGTTGGGGCTCCATTTCTACAGTTACGAGGGCGTCGTCATTTTGGGGGGAACCAAAAATGCAAAACATGCCATGTGCCATGGCCAACCTCCAAAACCTGTCATGACGTTTGAGTCCCAAACCTTCAAAGTTGTCGCTGTGACTATGATTTCACCCTAAGAATCACACAGTTCCCACTGAAATCGCCCAAAAACCAACTCATCCCCAAGCAAACAAATCGTGGTCCCCAAAACAAGCAAGAAAGGAGAAACAATCTTGTGTTGCCTCCGCAGACTTCCCTCAACAATTACAAGTACATATATGTATATGTGGTAGTGCATCTTCCAGAAACACACCAAAAAAAAACAAAGAAACGGAACTTCAACATTCCCCCCCTGCCCAACAGAAACCAAAACAAGCCAAAAACAAACAAAAAAGTCGCCCCATCCCCCTGCCCAACAGCAACAAAACAACCCGGAAGGAAAAAAAAGATGACGCCGTCAGGCAGGCTGCTTCCGCAAGCACGCGCTTCGAGCACCTCCCAGTTGCGCACCGCCCACAGAGTGCGGCACCGCGCGGCGTCGCGGACCGATGTGTCAGAGAAGCAGACCACCGCGGTGTCGTTGTCCACCTGTCGGAGAGAAACACTAGCTCCTCCAGCAGAGAGGTTAGAATAAGGGTACCCTTTTTCTGTAGGCTATTTTCTATTTTAGTAGGCTACTGGCGGACCTAAAGCAGGTCAGGTGGGGTCAGGTGGGGAGGGGAGGGGTGGGGAGGGGAGTGGACATGTGACAGGGTCCCGACAACGCACGTGCCGCGGTCAAACTTGCTTCTTTTCCACAAGAACTATCTAGTGCTTCTTGCCTTACCAGGGGATCCCATCCAAAAATGGTCCTTGATTGAAACAGAAACCACAAGGAGGTCGTTTAAACAGTGGTAACGCAACCCCCTAGTAAACCTAGTTGCCCTGACCCTGGTAGACAAAGGGGACTATTTCTGATTTTCGGTGAACCCCAAACAAAAATGGGCGCTGCTTGGGGCTGTTCAGCAATCTAGGCGCCCACACACACACACACACACACACACACACACACACACACACACCACCACGCCGTAGTTCTTCCGGTGAAAGGCCAAATTCAGGCTCAAGGCCAAGATTGCCTAACCGCCAAACTGGGGTTCTGGTGGCAGGGTTGTGGGATCAAGGGGGTTCTCCCTACTTCTGTGATACGTTTGGGAATCTCCCCCTTCTCGGGGGGAAATGTGTCTTGCGGCCCTGTTTTTCTTGTATCACAGCTTCGTGGACTCCATTTCCCACCACCCTGGGTGCACAGGTGGCCTTTTGGAAAAATAGATGGCCCTGGTAAATGGAATAAACCCCATCTAAACCAGGGCCCTCTACTTTTTTAAGCAAACCAACCAAGAAGGACACCTATGCCTGGGTGTCTGGCCTACTAAACCTGGCCACCTGGTGCGTCCGACCTGCGCCGCCGCGAGGTTCCAGGTGATGCCAGCATTGACCACCACCGCCAGACCTGCCTCCATCATCGTGCCAGAGAGGCCTAGCACGTTGCACTGCCCGCGGCTGGGCCCCACGTCGTTGCAGATGCCGCAGGATCTCCTGCCGAAACCAAATCCATCTGAAAACCTCGAAATGAGACGTTTTTTCAAAACCCAGAGCCATGTCAAGAATTGACATCGTGGAATTCCGCACCCTTTTGATGGCTGGGATTGTCCCTGACTCCCTCCAATTACCCGGGTTTTGAGTGTGACTCACTCGGTTTTCGTCGAACACAACTCTTTGTTTGGGGTTGTCTCAAAATAGGCCGGAGGTCCGCGAAGGTGGGTCTCTAAATTCCCGGTGACTGTAAGAGAAGCCTTGGGTTTCCCTGAGATTCTCTTTGAAACACCCTGTGCCTTCTTCAAAACCGAGAGCTTAGCTTGGACGGTTTAGGGACCAGACAGGGACCCAGAGGCATGGACCAGTCCAGGTTGCACTGCTCACCCATCCCCATGAAAGGACTCTTTTATGGGGTAGCAAATACCCTGATCGCTATAGATGTAAGTGACTGTGGCCCAGGTCCTACGTGGCCTTTGGGAAAAATCGATGGGTTTCCCTAATAAATGGGGCATGAGCCCCATCTAAACCAGTGGCTTGCCCATCGATTTGTTCACCAAACTAGCCTAAAAAGGACACCTATGCCAGCCTTGTAGAGGGAGGGGCTCTTTTATGTTTCTCACAGAGACTCGCAAGGTAAACCCTGACATCGCCTACCTGCCAGGCCAGGCCTGCAAAGGCTGTCCATGAGCCTCAGTACCACAAACGACCCTCGCCTCCATAGGCAAAACATCTTAGAAGATTCTTCTAGACGGGTTCATAGAGCCTTTCTGGGGGCGGGGCATATGTTCTAATGTCTCTGAGTCATATAAGGCTTTGCTTGGCCTCACCTAGCTGGTCTTGTGTCACCATGACAAGGCTCATTAAGCCCTGACGGTTGCAGGGCGGCTTTAAGAAGGTAATGACCCACCCACCTACCCACC